GAAAATTTAAATTATCCTACACAGTGTATTTTTTATGATGTCAATAATAAAATTAATAATTGATAATGTACACCAGGCGGATGAAACTGCCATTTGAATTTTGGAAACACGGCGGAGTTTCTGCCAGTAGAGGGATAGATGGCGCTGCGTAGAAATTACATTTAAAAAAGTCTAAAGTCCCTAGATATTCATCTAGGGACTTTAATTTCATCATGATTTTATCAAGTCATCCACAGAGTATAGTTTAATTAACAATTCGTTTGATTCTCTGTGGAGTAATTGGAGTAGTTGGAGTAGTTGAAAAATATAAATATTTATATAAAATGTTGATGATTTAACAGTGATGTGCTTTGTTACCCTATGAATAAACATTGATATGAAGTTGCTTTCGCCAGAAACAATTATAATTAAATAATTTAATAAAAATTTAATTTCTAAGTGACCCGGATCAGTTAGATCAGTAAAATAAATTGAAAAATAAACGTCATTCCATATTTGGCAATGTCTGTCAGTTTCTGTGAAGTGGAAGTGAATTGTGATTTGTTTTTATGGGAATATTTTACGGATTTTTGCGAATTTAGAGTATTTTGGACGATAGGATTGTGAAATTTAAAAGCCAAGTAGTTTAATATATAAGATTAATTAATCCCTGTGATAATTTTTATGAAATTTCTCATAATCAAAACAAATTCTTTCAACAAAATGGCTGTCTCAGAAATTTGGAAGATCATTAATTTTAAAGTTTTATTTAAGTGTATTTATATCGAATCAAGAATTTGTATAACATATTAAAAGCTTAATTTTAAAGGTTGTGCAGTAATTTATGTAAGTGTACGCTTTTAGATAAATATTAAATATACAAATTTGCAAAGACAAACAAGTAATTTTAAAAAGATCATTTATTTATTTAAACGAGTATAATCATTAATCATTAGGTTGAAAATATATTTGTATTTACTTATTTATATATTTTCTATACCCTTGTATTATTTATAAGCCCTATATGTCCTGTTTTATTTGAAAAAAAAATGCTTCGAGTCATCGAGAATAGATTTAATAACAATTTTGTCCCTTGGCTTTGTGTATTATATAATGTGAATTGTAAGATGTTTCTATTTGAATAGGTCATTAAAGTTGAGATTAAAGTTATACCAAATTATATTCACGGTAACTATATGTCTTTTATATAATGAATTATTTATTTATAATTTATAACCTTTTTTATAATTACTTATAACTGATTGTATAAATTCTGATAACTTTTATATATACTTGTATAGTGTTGAATGTGTTATATGTAATTTTATTAACAATGTTATAATAAAATAATCAAGTTACAAATTTTTCGTGTTTTATTCTAATTTCAGGGATAATTTCAACCTAGATTATTAATTTATTTGTATCAAAATACATTATTTTTATTTTGTAACCTGTTTTGTTACAAATAAGTTCATAATCTAGATTGAAATTACCAAATATAAGTAAAAAACTTATGTACTGGCAGTAAAGGTCCATTTAAAAATATGGCGCGAACTTTTAGTTCTGCCAATAGCCCGCCTGGATCGCGTCGAGCGCGTGTTTCCAGGCTTTAACATAGGAGTTTTCATTTCTTTCAGTTAGTTATTCTATGATGTACACAAAGCGCCATCGGTGCAGTTTGTCCGTGGCTTGGTCTTCGACCACGTGGCATCTTTTTCCGATCGATCGGGGGTGGCTGTTCGGGATGAAATTGCGGTGGTGGGGGGTCGGCTTTAAGGGCGCCGCGACTGTCGGACGCCGAGCCGCCACGTCCCGTTGCCTGGTTACCCAGGATCCCCGACCGCGGCCGAAGAAGTGGGCCCCATTATCTCGTTTGTCCCCTGGACTAATTTACTCGTTACGTGCGGTACAGGGTGTGCCAAATTTGCGTGGCGACGCGACGCGACGTCAAAGCAGTCCTGCAGTGTTTTCTAACTGATTATAACTCATATCCTGTCTCAGTAATGTTGGAAGTGCTCTCTATGGCTTGTAGATTGTATAGATCAATAGAGAGTATTATACAGTATGTTCCTGGGTTGTCTTTACAAGAAGAAACGCTTTTTTATTATTGGCATTTTGAGAAAAATGCATTCTTCATAAAAAAATGTGCTTCTTCTAAAATGGTTAATTCCGTTTATATATTTTTTTTAAATATGGTTCAGTTTTTTCCGAAAGTCATAAAAATTAAAACGCGTATCTATGGTAATATAACTTCGTTTTCATTTTTTGATAGATTGTTATTGATAGAATTTTAATCAGTGTCATATTTTTTGCTGTTTTAAAATGTTAAAGAAGCACAATATTTATTTCGTTCAATGCTTTGAATAAGAAGACTAAGGAAGGAGCATAATGCTATCCATGTATTCATGCATGGTGGGCGGAAAAGCCACCATAAAAGCTCTCTAGGGTGGGGATCCTTGACAGTTCTGTTTGACGATTCATTTGACACATTTGAATTTGATTTGAAATTTTGTGGATTTGTCAGTCTTTACGGAGCTTATTTTATGTTATTTATTATTTATTCTACTACTGATAGTTGTATAAAGGTAGTAAATCTAGATGGAAATTGTGGCAGAACATAAATTAACAGTGACACTATCGCGATTTATCGAAAAAGACTCTAAAATAGTTGGTTGTTTAGCGTGCGTAGATCTCGGCAAAAATTGAGTGAAATAATGGAACAACTTTTCGCTAGTAAGTGACTATATAATATACATACGTGTAGTAAACCAATCATTTATGAAATTCACTTAAATTAACTAAATTATATATTTTTTTTTGCATTTTAGCTTTTATTTATTACTTGTCAAAGATTAGATGTCAAAGAATTTAGATACGTTAATTTGACTTACCTGCTTCAGTAGCGTATCGGATGTTTGTGTTAATAAATACTTATTATAACTTATTCTTAATCTAAGATTATAACTTATCTATTTTTATTAGAATTATATATATTTTTATAACAATTTTAATAACTAGCAACATTTATTCACAACGTAAAATAAAACAACAAATTATTGACTCTACCCCACGTCTACCCTACATCATAGTTTTACATTTTTTAAATAAAATTAGAACGACACTGATAAACCGGAATTTAAGTCGGCCATATTTGAGGCCCATCGCGGTGTACCTAAGATTTTTGATATGCTCCTTCCTTAGTCTTCTTATTCAAAGGTTCAATGCTATGAAAAGGGTGATGATAGTTATCGGAAAATAAGATGCTTTGACAACAGCAAAGACTATGACATTAATTCACAAAACATCCCCCTTTAGAACTTCGTCTATCATGTTATGAAATGAAAGTAAATAATAAAGCGCCTCTCGTGTTTGTTCGCACTCAAAAAATTTTAATTAATGCCTGTATATATTTTCAATGTATTTTTTAAATTTACATTTTTTTAATTGTAAAGTAATGTATAATGTATTACATTTAAATGGAATATATTACATAACAATTATGTCAATTACAGGATTACAAGCTTGTTTTCTAACATTTTTTAAATAAAACGAATTATAAAATTTCAATATATGTATATTTGTCGTAGGTATGAAAAAAGTAAAATATAAATTGGACAAACGCTTACTTGCATTGCAATAAAACTTCCTCTTTTAGTTTTGCAATCCAAACGCAATATTTCTATTTCACAAATAAAAATATCCGACAACACTAAAATCACTGAAACTTCCGCGGCTGACAACGAAATCTGAAAAACATAACGGCATTTTTTGTTTTGGACTTGCATATCAACATTACGCTGTACTATTATGTGTTTGTTGTTGAAATAATATAAAATATCTAATTATAACTTGTAAATTTTAATATTTTAACATGATTTTAACTACTTTTGACAATAACTAACTTTTTGTTATCAAGATGACATTTTAGACGGCAACTGACATATATGTCATAATATATGAATCCTAAATATGTATGTAATTCAAATTACTATAATGCAACTTTATACTAAGAAAACATTTATACATTCATAAAATACAACAAAGTCTAATAATATAGTTTGAAAACAATGAATCGAATTAAAATTGAAAAAGTTATGCGCGACCCCTTGTGTCAAAATTAGATGATTAAATTTTCGCAATTTTTACACCATTTGATGACCGGTGGCGCCTCTAGTGTTTGTTCGGACAGTTGGGCTTTTACTCCCGCTTATGGCCATTAAAGAAAAAGTTCTAAAGGGGGATATTTTGTGCATTAATTAAAATTAATAATAACCATCTATCAAAGAATAAAATGGAAATTATATTACCATAGAAACGCCTTTGGATCTTTAGGACTTAAAATTCAATCATATTTTCATGTTTTTCTTAATTTTCTCTAAAATGGTATGAAAATTTGGAAAAGTATAAACGGGATTAACCATTTTAGAACAAGCCAAATTTTTTTTGAAGAATGCATTTTTCTCAAAATGTCAATAATAAAAAAGTTTTTCCTCTTGTAAAGACAATCCGGGGACATACTGTTGATCTATTGTGTTCCTCTTCTTCTTTACCTTTTTTCCTTACCCTTTTATGGCATTTTTTACGAATAATTTGGTACCACGCACTTTGTATTTAGTGTCAAATTGTCGTTATGAATCGCATGTTGCAATATCCAATAAACCATATTTGAAAATGTCAAAAGTTGACATATGATATGTCACTCTATTCATTATCATTTTCTATCGAATAAAGTAAAAAAAATACCGATGGTGCCATTTAAAAATCATCATTTGTAGTCATTTCCGGCGAAACAGGAAGTGGCCTAAAAGAATTCAATACGTCAATCAATCCTAATTTATGTCATATACTGACATATCAAATCTCATTTTTTATCTAAAAAAAAAATAAAAAAGTTATAGGGTTGGGTCACTTATGGGTCACTTTTTGAACTTAAAACATTACCTGATTGACACATTTAAATTTATTTTAAAATTCCACTTTTGGTTGTTCACAATAATTAATGTTGAATATTTGTGTTACAGAATAAGTGTGAATAAAGTGCATCGGCCATCATGTCCCTATCACTCCGAATCAACATCGTCGACAGCAACGTGACGAAAACGATCGTGTTCAGCTCATCGACGACCGTTCACGACGCCTGCCGAATCATACGAGAAAAATGCACCGAAGCCATTGGCCAACGTAAGTATTACATCGTTTATTATCAAATTACCAAAAAAATCAATTAGTACTACAGCTTATTCAGACGTATATAATGTACGTCTACTGAATCTGTGTCAACGAAAGGAATTTCAAAAATGCAGACACAATATTGGAGTATGATCAATTCATTGATCGCTACCTATATACTAATTTATTGATTGCTACCTATACAGTGTTGTTAACCACATACGACACGGAGTATTGTAGTTAAACGGCTAGATTTTTACAAATTGTAAGTTTTGGGTTCGTTGAAGGACTATTAGAGCTACAATTTAAAAATATTTTTACAAGATACAGAGTGTCCCAAATGAATAAAAAATATCAAAGTTGTATTTTTTTAAATGGAACACCCTATATATTATTACATTTTTAGTTTCTACGATTAAAATAAAGGTAAATTTGTTTACGGTTTATTACACTTAAACCTTACCGTTTTTGAAATATTTTCAATTTTGTGAAATTGCAGTAAAAATTTTAAGGCTTCATTTCTCCGAGGGTATCAAAGTTTTTAATACTAAATATTTACTGAAGTTTATTTATTGATCAGTTATTGTGTTGCAAAAATAAAAACTTTACTACCTTATACAGAGTGTCTAAAAATTTATTTTAAATAATTACTAGCTTTAAAGGGCAATAACTTGTTTAATTTAAATGGAACACCCTGTATATTTTATGAGAATCAGATGCACAATTTAATTGTCTATCAAATTGTATTATACCATTTTCTTGTAATTTAGAACTCATTTATCAATATACTCATGGAATACTGACATTTTAGATTATTTTTAAAGATGTACCAAATTTTTAGAGTACAGATACTAATATTGTCGATATAGTTTGTTTATTTCATTAAAAAATAAAAAAAACTGTTTAAATATTTTTTATTAAATAGGACCAACTAATATGATTCCTACATTAATTATATTGAAACTACATTAATTGACTGTTTGCGTTGATTAATAATAATTGCTCCAAATACTAAAAAACTGAATTATGTATGTGTATTAGACAGTGTGGTAAAAAGTAACACCTTAAAAATGATATTTAATTTTTTGACAAATGCTTATTTATAACAACAGAGACGTTCATTTTCATAACTTATTATTATATTGATTTCTGATTCAAATCCACATTCATGTAAAATCATTTATTAACGAACACAATTAAGTATGTAATTAATTAGTATTTGGGCGGAAATACTGGTGGTATATTTAATTAATGGTATACTCTTTTATCAAGATTTAAATAGTTTTCTTTTTGCATACAAATGGGCTAGTAATATTATCGTTTTACTAAAAACGATAATATTACTAGCCTGTACATTTTGCACATTTGTTGTTTTAAAAACAATCTAAAATGTCAATATTCCATGGGTATATTGATAAATGAGGTCTAAATTATAAGAAAATGCATTTTCTACGAAAACTTGAAGGAATAGGTAAGAAGTGGTATAATACAATTTGATAGACAATTAAATTGTGCATGTGATTCTCATAAAATATACAGGGTGTTCTATTTAAATTAAATAAGTTATTGCCGTTTACAGCTAGTAATTATTTAAAATAAATTTTTAGACACTCTGTATAAAGTATAATTTTTATTATTGCAACACAATAACTGATCAATAAATAAACTTCAAGTAAATATTTAGTATTAAAAACTTTGATATCCTCGGAGAAAAAGCTCTTAAATTTATACTGCAATTTCACAAATTGAAAATATTTCAAAAACGAGTAAGGTTTAAATGTAATAAACCTTAATCAAACTTACCTTTATTTTAATCGTAGAAACTAAAAATAATAATATACAGGGTGTTCCGTTTAAAAATACAACTTTGATATTTTTTATTTATTTGGGACACTCTGTATCTTGTAAAAATATTTTTAAATTGTAGCTCTAATAGTCCTTCAACGAACCCAAAACTTACATTTTGAAAAAATCTAATCGTTTAGCTACAATACTCCATGTCGTATGTGGTGAACAACCCTGTATACACGCGGCAGAGTGTGTACGTAGACTAGACGACCATGTCACCGCAAAACACACTCCACCCGCTCATTACATTGGCTACTCTTGAATTTTTATTGACGGGATGCATCGCCTATTTTTTATGACAACGGTAGTAGACCGAGCTTGGAGAACAGTGCTGTCGTTATCGGTAAAATAGTTGCGTGATTTTATTAATTTTTATTGTTTTTCTTCCCAATTTTTAGGGTTCCGTACCCAAAGGGTAAAAAAGGGAACCCTATTACTAAGACTTCGCTGTCCGTCCGTCCGTCTGTCACAAAGGTCTATCTTATGAACCGTTATAGCTAGACAGTTGAAATTTTTGCAGATAATGTATCTATGTTGCCGCTATAAGAACAAATACTAAAAACAGAATTAAATAGGTAAATGTTTATAAATAAAAAAGTACTTTCACTAAACATTATTTTTCAAGTAAGAATTTTACATAGAATCTTTCAAGTCCTCGGTGGCCGCGTGGTTAAAGCGTTGGGACTTTACGCTGCTATGAAGTTGGAGCCGTAAGGCAGGTTCGAATCCTAGTCAAGGCGACTTTTTTTTAATAGTTTTTTTTTTAATTTTCACATATTTATTTTTACTTTTTACATATTTATTATTGATTAATACAATTTTTAGTAATGTGTTTCTTCATTTTTTTTAAATTACTTATACGCGCATTCAAAATTTCAGCTAAATCGGAAAAAAAGTTTATAATAATATAGTGTCTAATGTTGTATAGATAATGAATGGTACGGAACCCTTCGAGTCCGACTCGCACCGTAAACGCTCGCACTTGATAATTTTTTTCTTTTAACAAGCAACTAGTATTACAGCTTATTCAGCGTTATACAGAGTCTACTATATCGTTTACTAGATCTGTGTCTACGAAAGGAATTTCATCTAAATAAAGATTAAGAAAAATTAATAAAAAAAATTAAATTATTTTTTTTTTCAATTGTTTCTCTTAAAATTTTGAAAATATATGTTAATTATGTTGAATTAACACTTTTTCTTTTATATTTACAGCGAAAGATTATGGACTGTTTCTCACAGACGAAGACACGAAATCTGGAGTATGGCTGGAACCGGCCAGAACTCTGGAGTACTACCTATTGAGAAACGGTGACGTTATCGAGTACCGGAAGAAATTGAGGAATTTGAAAGTCAAGATGTTGGACGGTAATTATAGTTCTTTAAAAAAAACTCTCAAATTAAAGTGACCAGATTTTGAGTCAAATAATTACAAATAACGTGTTTGACTACTTATTTATTTAGGGGACCCTAAAATCTACATAAACATAGTCCCAAATTGCAACAAAATGAAGGACATTTTCATTTTAATGAAGTAGTTTTGCGAGAAAGCCTGGTATATGTAGTAAATTTGTTTCTTCTATACAGGTACGACAAAAACAATCAGAGTAGACGATTCCCAAATCGTAGCCAACATGATGGTAGTCATCTGCACCAGACTGGGCATCACCAACCACGACGAGTACTCTTTGGTACTGGAAGACCTCGAAAATCAGGAGAACATCGACAACAAAAACTACGGAACTCTAACCTTAAAAAAGAAACGCGAAGAACGCGAACGAGATGCCAAAATGGAACAGCTAAGAAAGAAACTTCATACTGATGATGAAGTGAATTGGTTGGATCCCTCCAAAACGCTGAGAGAACAAGGGATCCAAGAAAACGAGACAGTGCTTTTGAGGAGGAAGTTCTTTTTTTCTGATCAGAACATCGATTCGAGAGATCCGGTTCAGTTGAATTTACTCTATGTGCAAGCTAGAGATGCTATTTTGAATGGAACACATCCAATCACGCAGGAGAAGGCTTGTGAGTTTGCGGGAGTTCAGTGTCAAATTCAATTTGGAGATCATATCGAGAGCAAGCACAAACCTGGATTTCTTGAGTAAGTAGTTTTATTGATACAAAAACCATAGTATATTATTCAACGAGCATATAATGGTGGCTGTTGTAGAATGTAGAATGTAGAATGTTTAGAAGGGGAGTTAATCACCGCGACCTTATAGATCTATTGTGTGTTCCCCTTTCTTGAGTTATAACGAGTTATAACTCATCATACAGTCTCAGGGCTTTAAGAAAAGCCAGTATCTGAGACGGCTCCACAGAGGCCAGCTCTCCATCCTCGACATCAGACGTGCCAAGGTTCATGGCACGAATGGTCGTCGTCTCGGCACACTCAGTGATAAGGTGTTCTGGTGTTTCCCCATTTTCCCCACAAAATCTGCATTCGCCGTTGTTTCTCAGTTTCATCTTACTGAGGTGTTCGTTGAGGAGACAGTGTCCTGTTAGAAACCCCGTGACAATCCAAAGATTGTTTTTACTTAAATCAAGGAAAACTTTTGATTTTTCTCGGTCATAAGTTCTAAGGAACTTTTTCGAGTGTCCTTAGACCGTTGGAGGACACCCATTCCAAGTTACGGATGGAGTCTTCCAGATTCTTCAGTACAATCCGAAGATTGTTTTTACTTAAATCAAGGAAAACCTTTGATTTTTCTCGGTCATAAGTTCTAAGGAACTTTTCATAGTGTCTTAGACCGTTGGGGGACACCCATTCCAAGTTACGGATGGAGTCTTCCAGATTCTTCAGTTCCGCTTTCAGTTGGTTCCCGTTTGGAAAACAGAACGGTTCTGGTCCAGTTAGTGGAGTGTTCGCTCCTTTCCTAGCTAGATCATTTGCTTTTTCATTGCCTTCTATCCCTTGGTGAGCAGGCACCCAGAGTAGGAGGACTTTATTTTCTTTGCCTAATTTGTTGAGCTTCTCTAGGCATTCTTTGACCAACTTCGAATTGATGGTTACTGAGTTGATCGCGTTAAGTGCTGCTTGACTATCGGATAGATGGTGGCTGTTATTCACGCGGATGAAGTTATAAATCATCCAGGTGAATAACAGCCAATCAATAACATTATCAAAAAAATTTAGATAATATTAATATAAGTTTTTATTTTTGTAAAACAACTTTTGAAACCCCCCATCGATGAGTGCAAAAAATAACATTGAAAAGTTCAAATTTTTAAATCGAATTTTAGAGTAAAATATGAGGGAATTTTAACATTGTTTTTTTGTAATGGTGTTTAATAATTTGTTTACATGTCTGGATATAACATGAGAGACTTATTAAAAAGGAAAAATATTTTAAAAATGTTATGACAAGAAAAACAACTTTTCGAACACTCCATAGATGAATGCAAAAAGTGACATTAAAAACTTCAAATAGCTCTTGTTTGGAGTTTGGATCGAGATGAAACCGTTATTCACTATTGAATAATGAATATTATTATTATTTCATAAACTCATGTATAATAATCAAATTATAGACGAGACGAGGATAAATTAACATTATATTGTCTGGTCAACGTTTTCTTCATTATTTGTCAAATATGCGTTTTAGGGTGTGTCTGAGATCAGTTCATATTGTATAGAAAATTTTAAGTACGTTATGAAATTATTAATTGAGTTCCGTTTTTATTAAATTCATGTAGATATAGTATGTTCAGCCATCGTTCAACGTCACTTCATATATCGTCGAACTCTCTCAATCACTTGCCAACCGGATGAAAGAGATTAGTGACGTCGTTACGGCATTTCGTAAATTACTGCATATTATTTTTGTCATTGTCATTTGATTTGGGGTTATAATTGTATTGACGGATATCTATCAATGTCAAAATTAAAAATCAATTGTTGCTGTAAAACAAAATGCAAATTTTTTTATTGCAAAAATGCCTCAAAGATTTAACCAAAATGAACAAGAGCTCATTGCTAAGCTTATAAATTATTTTTCTCGAGAAAGAGACGCTAGTAGAACACTCTTGCCAGTGGACGCCGTATATGAAGTAAGTTCAATGCAAAGGTGTAATATACCTATGTAAAATACAAATTTATAGCGGTTTTAAATAATATAGCGAGTTGCTGATGCTGTAGAAAAAGGAATTTCAACAGTCCAAAGGACTGGAATTAAAGGGATTGTAACTGAAGAAAAAATGAATAAATGCCGAAAAAACGGAACTCGCTCAATCAATAATATAGGAACGTACTTAAAATTTTCTAAACAATATGAACTTATCTCAGACTCACCCTAAAACTCATATTTGACAAATAATAATGACGTAACAGTGACCGATGGCTGAACAGTTTCTACCTTTCTTACCTATCTAATATCGGATTAATAAAACCACGTATAAATATGCCGCGTAAATGGGGGACACCTGTATGTCGTTTTTTTTAAATACATAAAACGATTTCTTCTTTTCTTCTAGTTTAAAAGAATTCCTACCACAGTCCTACACGAAAATCAAGGGTATCGAAAAAAAGGTGTTCCAAGAGCACAGGAAATGTCAGGGTTTGTCAGAGCTGGATGCCAAAGTGAAGTACACCAAAACGGCTCGATCGCTACCAACCTACGGTGTGACTTTTTTCCTTGTCAAAGAAAAGATGAAGGGCAAAAATAAGTTGGTACCTAGGCTTTTGGGCGTGACTAAAGAGTCGGTACTGAGGCTGGACGAGAAAACTAAAGAAACGTTGCAGACGTGGCCTCTGACCACTGTGAGAAGGTAAAGCTATATTTATTTTTAAATATAATACATATTCTGTTTTTCTAAATCTATAATTTTAAGTAATTCAAATATAAGTGTATTAATACTTCAACACTTTATATTTTTTCAGATGGGGTGCTTCTCCAAATACTTTTACCTTGGATTTTGGAGATTATTCCGACCAGTACTACTCAGTTCAAACCACAGATGCTGAGCAAATACAGCAGATCATTGCGGGGTACATTGACATTATATTGAAGAAAAAACAAGCCAAAGATCATTTTGGAATTGATGGCGACGAAGGTTCAACTATGTTTGAAGAAACTGTGTCACCACACAAGTAAGTACCTAATAAAATGGTATTTATTTTTAATCTTTATCAATTTCTGTCATGAAAAATTCGAATAAGTCCATATTTGTGCACCTTATAAATTTGATATCATTCATTTCAGAGCGTCTTTCATACAGCACGAATCAAATAAAGTGGCTAAACTTGACACACATTCAGTGGCCAAGCCTGCGGTCATGAGAGCTGGAGATAACGGTAAGTAGTATCAATTTTTTGAAATTTAAAATCCTATTTCCAAAAAATTATCACTAGATCTTAATATTTCTCTTCTCGTTTTTTTATATATTTTTTTTTATTTTTGTTTTTTGTTATTTTTGTTTTATTAGGTGAAAAAACGTTTTCTATCGGTTCAATGGGTGGTCCACAGCAAACCACTGTCAGTGGTCAAGCAAATCTTGCCCATACACCCCCTGTAACGGTAAGATTTTCGCTTGTTTCAATTGTCCCATGTATTTCAACCACTAACATTTTTTTCCATTAGTAAAAATATTTTTTTTATCAATACACTAACTGTTTTCCTTCTGTTTGTTTCATGTCTGTATATAGGAATAGGTGACAGAGTAGGTACATAGAGCAACTTTATAGATTCTTTTAATTTAATTTTTTCTTTCAATTCTATGATATTTATATCGATTTTAAATAAAACACACTAAATCGCCAAGGTTATTTTTAATACTTTCGATATCTCGCCATGCGTTTATTTTTATTATTATTTTTTGTAATTTTTTGGCCTCACGTTGGGCGCCAAAAATGTGACGTTTAAAATTAGGGAAATGAAAGACGTGTATAATCAAATGATAAAATATTATCAGCAGATAAATAAATAATAATAAAAAATATAAGATAAATATTTTAAAATAGTAAAGTTAAAGCTCTAACTCCTTTGTGTTTTCTAACGTCCTAACATTTTTGTTTTCTATAATTTATGTTATTACTCTTGATTTAAATGGCTATATATTAAGCAAAAAACTCATTCCACAGTCTTACAAGCACACCAAAATTACTTCGGTGCTCACCGAGCCACAACGAGCCCTGATTTCCTGCATTGAAGCCACGCACACCAAGATCAAAGAGTCCCAAATCGATTTGGAGACGGAACTGCACTATCCAGAGATAGGAAGCGATGCGGTGGCCAAAAAATGGAAACAAGTCACTTTGGACACCAGCAAACAAAACGTGGGCAGTCAAATAGCTGCTATGAATGCCGCCACTGCTCAAGTAAGTTCACTTTTATCTTTACTTTGTTATAAATCAAAAAGATATGCATAAAATGTCAAGTTATTTAATACAGGGTGTATTTTAGGTGGTTAAACTAGCTTCGGCGCCGCAAGACGAAGTCGATCACCACGCGGTAGGTGCTGCTGTCACCACAATCGGCAGCAACCTTCCAGAAATGACCAAGGAAGTCAAAAAGATCATAGCATACTCTGACGACAAAAATATGGGCGAAAAGCTACTGGATGCTACGAGAAAACTCTGTAATGCTTTCAGCGATCTCCTCAAAGCTGCAGAACCAGAATCCAAAGAAGTAACTCAAAGAAAAAAATAATAATTAATGATTTTTAATTTTCGTGAATATTTCAGCCAAAACAAAGTGTTATCAATGCAGCCTACAGAGTTGGTGAAGCTAGCACTCAGGTGTTGGCTACTATTGGAGAAGATACGGCTGCGAACAAGGAGCTGCAAGATCTGTTGATGTCGTTGGCTAAAGGAGTGGCTAATACCACGGCGGCTTTGGTTTTGAAAGCGAAGAATATTGCGTCAACTTGCGAGGACCAGCAAATGCAGAATAGGTAAATATATTAAATTTTTATATCACTTTCATCTATTTAATATGGTCAGTACAATAAATATCTAAAGTGTGGGTTGGAGAAGCTCAGTGAATACTTCGGATATCACCAGTTTTTTTTTCTTTTTCTTATAATCTTATATTCTGGGTGAACAGAGAGCATACTGTCGCACAAAGTAAAAGAATTGGCCGATACAAATGTTTCTTTGCAGATGTGATATTTATTATCATATCTCATATCTCTCTAATTGTTTTCCATTGTATCATTTTTTCAAGCCCCACGTTGGGCGCCAAACTCGAGTTTTCTTCTAAATTTAAATGAAAAATTTGAATATAAATGCCTTTTGTTTAATTAAAACATTGCGATTTTTATTTCAATAAAATCAGCAACTTGTCTAGTCTCTACTCAACTATATATTGAACAGGCTAGAGGTCATAGCGAACCCCTTTTGCCTTTGAACTGCGTTAGAGAGGTGAAAATTATCAGCTTTCATTTATAAAAAAATTGTTAATAATTTCACTTAATTAGAATTTGTTTGTGTAATAATCATAGACAAAGAAATTATGTAGATATAAAAAATATTTACATATATATTGTATCTAAAATTGAAGTAAAAAATGTAACAGAATTACGAATATCATTTGACACCTGCAAGTAAAGAAAGTGGCCGCGGCAACATTGCAACGTACATTGTCAAATATTTTGATGACATTAACCGCCAACTTTTATTGATTTTTCTGCACACGAAACTATATCAGAATTTCTCTATCTTAGAAGCTCTCTTTATGATTTGGTTCTCTGTGGACTAAGTTTAATTTTTACTTACTATTTTTTCAGAGTCATTGGTGCTGCTACCCAATGCGCCCTAGCCACCTCCCAACTAGTAGCCTGCGCCAAAGTAGTCGCCCCCACCATTCACTCCCCCGCCTGTCAAGAACAATTGACAGGAGCTGTCAGAGAAGTTGCCAAAGCCGTCGAAAATCTAGTCAGCATCTGTAACGAAGCCACGCCCGACGAAAACCTAAACAATCAGCTACGTGACGCAGCCGCTGAAGTGTCAAGATCATTGAATGCTTTGCTGAACCATATCAAGCTTAGTGGAAGGGAGAAGGCTAAAGAGTCTGTGCAGGAGCATAGTGTTGAGGAGATTTACACTGCTACTGATAAAATATCGGCTGCTACAGGGGATGCGAATGAGATGGTGAAGCAGGCTAGGAGACTGGGCAATGCTACTGCGCAGTTGATTCAGAGTATCAAGGGTGAGGCGGAGAAGTTGCCTGATTCGGATATACAGAGAAGGTTGCTTGCGGCGGCTAAGACTTTAGCTGATGCCACGGCTAAAATGGTAAGCTATTTTTAACAATTAAAATCTGGCAAAGTAAAACACTAATTCACCCTAATACACCAAAACACTTTACTTTTAAATCAGGCAATTATTAGTATTTCTAATAACTAATACGTTTTGAAATGGTAATATCTGGTTGTTCTCAGTTTCATAGGTAAATTTAGGCTGTATTCCGTTGCAAAACCAGGCGAACCAGACCGGTAAACTAGAGCGGTTCCTGAAAAACATCGGTTTGATACGGAACGGTTTGGTAAAATACTTGAAACATCAAATTGTTGACGTTTTCTAAATTTCAATACCTATGTTATAAAATTTATCTTTTATGCATTTTTAATGTACCTATTCTCTGCTTTTACGTTTGCTTCTTCTTTTCAATGGAGTTTAATATTGAAAAGTACTTTATTAATAAACTGTTAAACTCGTTAGACAGCTCAACTGAAGATTTGCAGGTCCAATATTAAAACAGGTCAATAATAAATAAACAAATCTAATCAATATTTATATTTTTATAGCTTACAAAACATTCACGATTACTTGTTGTCTTGTTTTTCATGTTTTCTTTAAATGTTCCTGACTTTAAGAAACAATGGCTCCATGATAAGTTTAAATGGTCCTAAAAAGTCATTCTATTTAGTTATTGAAATTTATTTACCCCTACTGCCTACCTCCATTGCTTTTGGATGTAAATACAAAATATTATTACAAATTTGAGAAATTAAATGAGAATTTTACTCGAACTTCCAATATTTGCTTGATTTCTGTCACATATATGACATTGATTGAGAAACAAAATCAGAAAAACCAGCCTTCTCGCGCTGGTTAGTTTGGTGACAATTATAACCGAATTTTGAACCGTGTTCCATAATAAGAAAACTTTCAGGAAACCGATAGAAACGGAACATAAAACCATAACCAAGGTAAGCAACGGAATACACCCTTGATGAAATGGAAACGATTATTTAATTTATAAATACGGTTAAACTGTTTTGGTTTATTGTGGTAAATTAGTGTTTTTATTTTGCTGAATGATTTATCCAATACTTTGACAGTTTTTATGAGGTTCTATATCGTTTTATTAGGTCGAGGCAGCTAGACAGTGCGCCACAAATCCTAGCGATATTAAGTACCAAGATCAACTTCGTCGTACCGCTGAAGACTTGAGAGACGTCACTATAGTAGCTGCAACTACTCCAGCTCTACGTACTAAACTAGTAGATCGCGTTCAGGTATCTACCTTATATCAATTTCATTATTTAAATTACTTTCAATAACATTTCTATGAACAGGTATGTGCGCGCAAGGTTGTAGCTTCCGCGAATCTGTGCCTCACAGCTGCCCACGCTAGTCATCCTTATAATCCCAACCCTGCTACTAAGCAGGCTCTTATACAAGACACTGATGATTTGGCTGATCATATTCCACCGTTGGTCGAGGTTATCCAGGCTAATAGTGCTCATCCAGAGGACATAAACACCCAAAGTGAACTAATGTATATTGCAGAAGTGTTCTTACATGTAAGTTTCATTTTTTAAATATATAATTAAGTACTATATTTGTTGGAATTCATTTATTTCTTATTTACAGCCTGCCACTCAATTTATCCAAACATCTCGGTCAGTGTTGCCAACCATCACTGAACAATCGATCACAGAACAACTGTCAATCACCAGTCATCAACTCAACTCTGATCTGAATGATCTGAGAAACGCTTTAAGTAGAGCTAAACCGGCCTGTCAAGGTAAAGTATAATTCAGTGACATCTTTTGACAGTACATTAGTGACGTTTTTCTGACATTAAATTTGAATTTTCTAATATGTCCACTGTATGCATCGCCATCTTCTCTGGTAATAAACAAAAAAATTAATGGTAATCTTATACAGGACTTGGTATGGATGGAGCAGCACAATTATTAGAAGGCTTGCAAGAAGAACTTCGTGAGTTCGAACGAGCGGTTGAAGCTCACAGGTTGCGTCCATTGCCGGGTGATTCAACAGAAAAGGGCGCTCAACAGTTGATCGCCAGCGGAAAATTAGTCAACCAAGGCGTAAGATAATTTTTTCTTTATTTTATATCAACATATTTATTTAAATTTTGTATTTTATAGGTTGCGCAACTGCTCAGTGCAACGGCTCAAGGAAATGAAATGTATAACACTCAGGCTGCAAGAGATACAGTGCACAGCCTTAGGAATTTCACTGGAGCTGTGAGGTGTATTGCGGCGACAAATGACAACCCTGACTTGCAGAGAAAGATAATCCATGCAGGTATAGTCTTAATATTTACTATACAGATTCTTCACACAAGATCTAGTCAATAATTTATCAAGATATTATAAAAAAATAAAAAGATACATACCAGGATAACAATAAAATATCACACGGTTAGGTTAAACTCTGTCAACGACTGTCTTTATTCATGGACTATCAGTTACAACTAGACACGTGTACAGGTACTTTAAAATATTGTCACTAGGTGCTATAATAATAAAGTTCGTATCAAATAAACTTTTAGTCGCGTGATTTAGCTTGACTTGCACAGCGTTGCCGTCTTTTACTTATTTTCTTTTAATCAAAGTATTTTAGGAAACAAAAATAAATTAATTATAAATATATAAACAGTTATTATTTACATCAACAAAACTCACCTTCCTAACACCACTTAAGGGCCATTACTACCGCTTTCCCGTTCAAAATATTCTAATAAAGTTGCGATGAGTTTTTTACTGCTATTAAGTTATCTTGTACGACTGCAATGTCTGCTAGTAAACCTTTTTAAGCTTAAAAACTCGTAATATACAAAACTAAAGTGTCAAAACGAGTGACAATGTCAGGAAATAAATAAATAAATGTGGCAACTTGGCTTGTTTTATAGCAGAGCTACCTCCTGAATCCCCAGCGGGAAATTTAAATTCCAGTTAGTCAGTTTGGCGCTGAATATGTCCATTGGTTGGCAATAATGAATTTAAAAATCGCGCCCTCGATTATGTAACTGAAAGTTTAATTGATAACAAATATAGACTATCAATTACAACTAGACATATGTAATAGGTACTCTCAAATATTGTCACTAGGTACTATTAATAAAATTCGAATTTAGATACAGATTTATAGATTGAGAATATTTTTTTAATATAAATAATAATTTAATGATAATATCGCAATATTTTCTTATGCTTCTAGGCCAAGACGTCCTGGACCACTCTGCAAAACTCCTGGAAGAATCCCAACGCAGCCTCCACGAAGTCGACACTACCCCAGCCCTCCAAAGAGCGGCCAAAGACGTGAACGCGGCCATCCAGCGCGCGGTTGGTTGCCTACCCGGCCAAAAAGACGTCGACTCTGCCATCACCAACATCATAGAATGGACCTCGACCATAGAATCAGGCCGTTTTCCACCTACTTCCAAGTCTTACGGCGAGCTCCAACACGAACTGACTACTGCTGCCGCTAATCTAGACCAAGCGAGTGCCGGAGTGGTTCATTCGGTACACAGTCCGGTCCAACTGGCCTCGTCTTCGAAAGATTTTAGTTCGGCCTTCCATGACTTGCTGCAGGTGTCGCTGGAGATGGCCGGACAGACTAGCGAGCCATCGGTTAGAGGTGAGATGGTGCATTCGTTGAAGAGCGTGTCTACATCTTCCAGTGCGCTGTTGACCACTGCAAAGTCCTTGTCTGCCGATCCGAATTTGCCTAACGGGAAAAATCAGTTAACCACAGCTGCAAGGTGAGTTTTCATTCTTTACATATTGTCGGGACCTAGTTTTGGTGGTTCCTGGAACTCTATATTAAAACAACCATTACAAAAAAGTCTAGGAAATGTCAAGATTAGAATATGCTGAAATACTTACAGAAACATCTCGGGACTGCGCTGTCTTCACTGACGATCACTCTAACCACCCTCTGACTAATTAACTAATTACTGACGGTGTCTAGCTTGTGAATTAATTATCTGACTGTGACGAATTTATCAAGGAATGGTCAGTTTCAAAGAAATTTTTATTTACTAGTATTTTAACTTGATAATAGTTTCGACGTTTGTTGACATGCACGCCCCATTTTTGTATTGATTTCTCTATAAGTATTTAATTAATTTCAGAGCGGTCACTGACAGCATCAACCACCTCGTCATAGTGTGCACTTCAGCAGCCCCTGGTCAGAACGAGTGCGATAACGCTATAAGAAAGATCCAAGCCATGCGCTACTTGTTGGAAAAACCAAGTGAACCAATCAATGACCTTTCGTATTTCGAATCGTTAGAACAAGTGATAGAGAAAAGCAAAGTTCTGGGCGAAGCCATGACTGGTATCACCCTAACTGCCAAGAACTCCCAACATGAGAAATTTACCGAACACATCAAGAACTTCAGTGGAGGAATTTGCTCTTTGGTGGAGACTTCAGCACAAGCAGCTTATTTGGTAACGTATTTTCTAAAGAAGTAATTTTTTTCTAAAAAATATTATATCTTTATTGTATCTAGTTTCCGTATCTAGTCTTGTTAGGGTAGGACCCTAAAATAAAACATGTTTTTCTTATTGGTCTCTTTAAGTCGATTGATAAAAAAAAACAATTCTAATTCTGAATTTCAGGTCGGTGTATCTGACAGTTCCTCCATAGCAGGCCGCCCAGGCCTAGTAGACCAGGCTCAATTCGCGCGAGCTTCCCAAGCCATAGCCCGCGGTTGCGAGGCTTTATCCAACCCTACCAGTCCCCAAAAACAAGTCCTAGAAGCCGCAACAATCATAGCCAAGCACACCAGCGCCCTGTGCAACTCTTGCCGAACGGCTAGCTCCAAAACTAACAATCCCGTCGCTAAAAGACAGTTCGTGCAAAGCGCCAAAGCTGTTGCCAATTCTACGCAAGCTTTAGTAACTGAAATCAAGGCTTTGGATAGTAATTATTCGGTTGAGAATAGGAGGAGGTGTGCTGAGGCTACCAGGCCTTTGCTGGAAGCCGTGGAGGATTTGTGTGTTTATGCTAGTTCAAGCGAGTTTATTACTATACCTGCCAAAATATCTCCGCAGGCTTTGGAGGCACAGAAGCCTATAGTAGGAGCTGGAAATAGATTGATTGATAGTTCATGCTTCGTCATTTCTTCGGCGAAAAATTTGATTGTTATGCCGAAAGATCCTTCCACTTGGCAACAGTTTGCGAAGTCTTCCAAGGAGGTGTCTGATACTATTAAGCAGTTGGCAGATAATATTAGGTAAGTTATACAGGGTGGTCCGAACTGCATTCCGGAAACTTCGGCAGCATATTCTGCAGATAAAAATAAGTAAAAAAGTTCTTATAAATGTATGTCCTAAAATGGTTAGTTTCGGAAATACAGGGTGTAGAAGTTTTATTTTATTTCGATTTTTTCCAAATAATTTAAATATTTTTTTTTTAATAATTTTTTTTTAATAATTTTTTTTTCCTATACATATCACAAATTTTGCTTTTTTCTATTTTTGTTAATTTTTATTTGAAATATATAGAGAGGGAGCTCCAGGAAAGAGCGAAGCCGACCAAGCTCAACGTATCCTGAACAATCACCTCAAAACACTCGACGCAGCCTACATGGACGCTGTTTCTCAGTCTCTTAAACCTAGGAGAGCCACTACACTGCCCATATACAGCCAACAAGTTGACAGGTACTACCCACAGTCAATTAGTTCTTAATCTTATTTGAATTAACATTGGATTTTTCTTACTTTACAGAGCTGCGGCAAGTTTGAACGATACCATCGAACCCTTGCGTCAAGCAGGCAAGTATGAAGCTGAAAACATTGGTCACAGTTTGACTCAAATGATCCAGTATTTCGAGCCTTTGGTACAGAATACGATAGGAGCTGCGTCTAATATGACCAACTCTAAACAGCAAGAACAACTGTTGAATCAGGCAAAGTCAGTGACGGAAAGCGCATGGCAGTTGGTGGATACTGTCAAGAACTGTGGCGGAAATCCTAAGGTAAGTAAGTGATCTAGAAAAAAACTGGAGATTTAACATTCCCTAAATGTTTTCTATTTATCGTTTTTTTTTCGTATTTCTCAAAACAAACAATATAATGAACTTTATGGTTGACTCCTGAACCTGTACCAAAGACAAAATATAGTCAAAATACAATAAAACAATTTTCCAGTCTGTCAATATCCACCCGGATATCGACGAAACCGCTGACATCACCAAGGAAGCCCTACAAGAACTAGTCCAATCCCTAGAGGTCATCTCCACTCAAACGGGCAAAGTGTCCAGCGTGGTGGACAACTTGACACGTGCAATGACGCGTCTGTCTGACCACAGAGCCTCTCTGGTCATTTCTGACAGTGAGGGTTATGTGGACTATCAGACAAGAATGGTGGAATGTGCCAAAGATATCGCCAAAATAGCCAGTAAGTTTTATTTGATACATTTTTATGTTATTCAGAAATTTTTTATTAATAAAAATGAATTAAAATTACCTAAGCCAGTATTTTTTTGAAAAGTCTGATACAAAGTTTAAGAATATAGCTTGCTAGATATTGCTAAGATATAAACTAAAGATAATAAAGGGTGTATCTGGCTATATTTTCTACTTTTCTTAGGTGAAATGGCAACTAAAGCCGCAACAGATAGCCAGGAGTTGGCCAGCCTTAGTGCCAAGCTAGCCCATAAGTACACGCAGCTGTCAAATGACAGTATTGGCGCTGCAGCAGCTGCGACAAACGCAGACGTGGGAATTAGACTTAAAGAGGTAATTTTTACACATCCATCTGAAGAGAGCTTATAAAATAAAGTAAAAGAATTAAAAGAATCTCTCAAATATCATTAATTTCTATGAAACACGTTTTAAGACAAACTCTCTTTGAAGGTGGTTCAACAACTTGGTGGTGCTTGCGTGGAACTTGTTCAGGCTAGCGGGCAGTGTCTCATCGCCAAAGACGACATTATTCTCAGGGAGGTTGGTGACTGTTCGCGCAACGTTGCCGAAAAAGTGTCCAGAGTGTTGGCAACATTGCAGAGCGGATCTAAAGGTAAGACAAACCAGAATACTTAATTATTAGTTGAAATTGACTCTTTAATTTTTTTTATTTAATTATCTGTTTTTTTTTTCTTTTTAGGCACTCAAGCTTGTATCAACGCAGCGTCTACAGTATCTGGTATCATCGGAGACCTGGAAACGACCATAATGTTCGCTACTGCCGGAAATTTGAATCCAGAACACGAGAATGAGTCCTTTGCTGATCATAGAGAAAATATACTGAAAACAGCAAAGGCCTTGGTGGAGGATACAAAAACGTTGGTGGCTGGAGCTGCCAGTTCTCAAGAGCAGTTGGCTGTGGCCGCACAGAACTCTGTTGCAACCATAGGTGAGTTGATATTACGAATTATTGAATATTGTATACAGGGTTGTTCACCACATACGACACGGAGTATTGTAGCTAAACGATTAGATTTTTACAAATTGTAAGTTTTGGTTTCGTTGAAGGATTATTAGAGCTACAATTTAAAAATATTTTTACAAGATGCAGAGTGTCCCAACTAAGTAAAAAATATTATAGTTGTATTTTTTTAAATGGAACTCCCTGTATATTATTCTATATTTAGATTCTACGATTAAAATAAAGGTAAATTTGATTAAGGTTCATCATACTTAAACCTTACCGTTTTTGAAATATTTTCAATTTTATAAAATTGCAGTAAAAATTTTAAGGCTTCATTTCTCCAAGGGTATCAAAGTTTTTAATACTAAATATTTAATGAAGATTATTTATTGATCAGATATTGTGTTGCAATAATAAAAATTTACCACCAATATAATAAAACCACCAATTACCACCAATATAATAAAAGTTTTGGGTTCGTTGAAGGATTATTAGAGCTACAATTTAAAAATATTTTTACAAGTTACAGAGTGTCCCAACTAAGTAAAAAATATTATAGTTGTATTTTTTTAAATGGAACTCCCTGTATATTATTCTATATTTAGATTCTACGATTAAAATAAAGGTAAATTTGATTAAGGTTCATTATACAATATCTTAAACCTTACCGTTTTTGAAATATTTTCAATTTTATAAAATTGCAGTAAAAATTTTAAGGCTTCATTTCTCCAAGGGTATCAAAGTTTTTAATACTAAATATTTACTGAAGATTATTTATTGGCCAGATATTGTGTTGCAATAATAAAAAATTTACTACCTTATACAGAGTGTCCAAAAATGTATATTAAATAATTAAACGGCAATAGCGTGTTTAATTTAAATGGGACACCCTATATATTTTGCGTGAACCAGATGCACAATGTAATTGTCTATCAAATTGTATTATACAATTTTTTACCTATCTCTTCAAGTTTTCATAGAAAATGCATTTTCTTATAATTTAGACCTCATTTATCACTATACCCATGGAATATTGACATTTTAGATTATTTTTAAAGATGTAACAAATTTTCCAAGAGTACAGATACTAATATTGTCGATATAGCTCGCTTATTTCATAAAAAAAATTTAAAAACTCTTTAAATATTTTTGTTAAAAAGGACCAATTAATATGATCCCAGTATTCAGACTACATTAATTGACTGTTTATGTTGATTAATAATAATTGCTCCAAATACTAAAAAACTGAATTTTGTGTGTGTATTAGACTATTAGACAGTGTGGTAAAAACGGCCTTATAAATTTTATTTCACTTTTTGACGAATGCTGATTTATAAAAACAGAGACGTTTATTTTCATAATTTATTATTATATTGATTTCTGAGCCAAATCCACATTTATTTAGAATACTTTATTAATTAAAACAATTTAAAAGTATGTAATTAACTAATTTTTGGTCGGAAATAATGGTGGTATATTTAATTCATATACTCTTTTATAAAGATTTAAATAGTTTTTTTGGTATACCAATAGGCTTGCAATATTTACCACCTGTACATTTTGTGTATATATGTTGCTTAAAAAAAATCTGAAATGTCAATATTCCATGGGTATAGTGATAAATGAGGTCTAAATTATAAGAAAATGCATTTTCTACGAAAAGTTGCAGAAATAGGTAAAAAATGGTATAATAAAATTTGATAGACAATTAAATTGTGCATATGATTCACGTAAAATATACAGGGTGTTCCATTTAACTTAAACACGTTATGGCCGTTTAAAGCTAGTAATTATTTAATATAAATTTTTGGACACTCTGTATAAGGTAGTACAATTTTTATTATTGCAACACAATATCTGATCAATAAATAATCTTCAGTAAATATTTAGTATCAAAAACTTTGATACCCTTGGAGAAATGAAGCATTAAAATTTTTACTGCAATTTCTTAAAATTGAAAATATTTCAAAAAACGGCTAAGGTTTAAGTGTGATAAACCTTAATCAAATTTACCTTTATTTCAATCGTAGAATCCAAAAATAGAATAATATACAGGGTGTTCTATTTAAAAAAATACAACTATGATATTTTTTACTTATTTTGGACACTCTGTATCTTGTAAAAATATTTTTAAATTGTAGCTCTAATAGTCCTTCAACGAACCCAAAACTTACAATTTGTAAAAATCTAATCGTTTAGCTACAAAACTCCGTGTCGTATGTGGTGAACAACCCTGTATTATATTATTACATTATTACGCATCTACTTTTCTTTTGACGCCAAAAGGAAAGTGGTTTCTCAAAAGCAATAAAAATGATTTTTTGCATTTTTTATTTCTTTCTTCCAGTAAAATTAGCCGAAGTTGTCAAATTTGGAGCTGCCAGTTTGGGCTCAGACAATCCAGACTCACAAGTGATGCTGATCAACGCGGTTAGAGATGTGGCCAGTGCTCTGGGTGATCTAATTCACGCCACTAAGGCTGCCAGTGGCAAACCTATAAACGATCCTGCAATGGCTCATCTTAAAGACAGCGCCAAGGTTAGTGTTATTTTTTTTCTTAGTTCAATAATTTTAAAATTATAATTAACAAATGCAGCTAATAACTTTAATTAACACCACTTTTTCGATAACGTCTGACGCCTTTTTATCACGTGGTCTTAACATCCCAGTGAATATATCTGGTGAACAACTATAGACACAGACTAATAGATGTCATAACGCACTGAATCCACACAATTTGGTTCTGTATGTAGCATAAAAATTGTAAATCTATCGTGATTTTTACTAAATTATAAACTGTAAAAAAATAATCAGTGAATTGAGTGAGGTTAGGTTATTTAAATTTAAATATGAAAAGGAAAAAAAAGTTTATATAGTAAACGCCACGAATGTTTGGGAGTGATTCATCGCTTGATGAAGTTAGAATCGACCCGCGCGCTATCATTTTTACATTAAAAACGTAAATTTTTACCGCAGACGTAGGTTTTTAAAGGCCCGGTCTAATCATCTCCCTGCGCTCCTCCTACTTATTCTAAAATGTTAGCGTGATTGACAAAGACGATACGATATCGCGTTTCTTTGATTGATTCGTTTTTGTGCGTCAGGCCATTGGTGTGCTTGCAGTGCGACCAATGGGGCATTCCATTTTATATTTATAACCAAATATATGTTTTGACAAGACTTTGACAGTTAAAACGACAAATTACAACAGATTATATATTGATTATTATATGACTTGAAATACCACGGCACTGGAATTAAGTTTTATGTGACCTTGAACAGATTAGTTCACATGGTAGCGACCGATAAATCACTCCCAAACATTCGTGGCGTTTACTATAATAACTTCTCTAATGTAATAACATGCCTTGTAACTAATGCTTTCTTTCCTGATGATTAACTTGACTAACAAAAAAAATACTGCTTATTAACAGATAATGTCATTCATCAACTAACTTAACCACAAAACATTTTGGGGTGGACTTTAAATAATATATTCCTAATAAGTCACATATATCGTCCTAATCAACAACAATCACCGCAGCTTGAACTCAACACTAAATACAACCCGAAAAAAAGCTAAATTTGCACAAAAATATAACCCAAAAACCAATCAAAACATGTCTGAAATTAATTATAAACTTTATTTGAAGTCCACCTTCGTCTAACATTTTATTCTGTCTCTTTCTCTTAGTTGTCCCAAGTTCCTGCTAAGTTTTTTTTTAAAAGTTAGGTTATGTTTATTTGTTCTGTACATGTTTTGATTGGTTGAATAAGTCTTGTGATTTATCGTTTTTATACCAGCACTTCTCTATAGCTTATGATTTAATATAAATGCCCTTATTATAGTTACTTTTGGAACAGTATTTTGATATGAAATTAGTTAAAAAAATTCTGATTATTTATAAAATTTTATATGAGTGTAAATTTTAAGAAAATTTAAATTCTTTTCAATTAAAAAGACAGATACAGTCTGTAGAACTGTTGTACTCTTTCTTTCGCGTGAAAATAGGATGAAACAGATTGTAGTTGTCATTACGACATCTTGTAAATAACTGCACATTTTCCTAGTAACTGTCATTTCTGTTTTGTGGTTATGATCCTATTGACAGATATCGAATATTGTCAAAATTAAAATTCGACTGCGCAGTCAAATGCTATTCAAATCAGTTTGTTGCTATAACTGTATGTGCGCCTAAAATTATAAATTAAAACACAACCAAAATTAATAAAGGTCTAACGAACCTACTTGAAATTAATAAAATCGGAACGTACTTGAAATTTTTTAAACCAATAAGAACCGATCCCATAACGTTGTACAATCGCAGTTACAACAAAACATTCTAAAATAATTAGATGAATTATTATGTAATAATGATACACTAAAAATACGAATCATAATTTAAACAGATGTACAATATGACTGTGTTTCTGATAATAACTGCTCAGAAAGTTTAAAACTTCAAATTTTTTATTTAAGTACTCTGCATTTAGGCTATTCTCAACTGATCATCACCAAAAAATATATATAAATCATCATGCAATCATCTGGCTTCTAACTCTTATTTTATTAAGAAAATATAATCCCCAAGATTGCACTAATTTGTTACTTTCACGTACAAAAATCCGAATTTGCATCATTAATCGCTACAAAAGAATAAATAAATAAACAAACAAGCCAAAAACCAATCAAAACATGTATTTATTACCTAATAATCAAAAATGCAACCTTATTTCAAATATACGTTCATTCTAACCTATCTTTTTCTCTTCTAATTTTTTGAATTTCCCGCTAAACGTTAGTTCTTTCGTGGTGGCGCTGGTAATCTAATACGTGTTTTGATTGGTTGACTAGGTCTTCGACTCGGACACCGATTGGTGGATCTCCGACCAGGAGGAGGAGCTTCTGCGCTTGCTAAGCGACAGCAAAGAGAACGTCAACTCTGAAGGATTGACTGATGTCGAGAATATGCCTACTGATATTGCGCATTGTATCGTTTCCGCTTCTTAAATTATAATTAATCGCATCTATCGTATCGTATGATCGCAAATAATATATTTAAGTAGGTTGTGAAGCCGTAGTTTTTTTATATAAAAATATTATAGAAAATAGTTCATACATAACACTAATAGAATTTTGAATTTTCTCTGTCTTTATGATTGATGTCTAGAAGTTGCTTAAATTTGAGTTTTATTTTTTAATTCAATATTGATTTTATGCAAACTGTTTGAATCTAGGAATACATTGTGTCTGAACTGGAATTACAATGAGATTACTATGAATCTTAAAAAGAATCTTTGAAAATAGACTAAAAAAAACGTAAAAAATATTGGAAGAAGTTTTTACTAGTAAATAATAATAATTATTATAGGTACTAAACTAGAGTGAAGTTCAAACCAAAACGAGATGTCACAGCCTGCTTAGATTTATTTGCGGTTATAACGGAATGTCACTTCTAAAATATAACTTTGATAAGAGTATTTAAATTTAAAATGTACTGATTTTTATCTAGTGTTGCCTGTGTTCTATGTGTGCTTTGAATAGCATAGTTTCCTATATTTACAGAGTAAAAATAAGTGATCTATTACAGTAAATAACAAAATTTGTGTGGTTTGGTTTGATTGTTTGGTTGTTAGTTATAATTATTTACACCCAAAAAATAAAAAATAAAAAAAACTCAAAGAACATTATGTTAGAACCAAAGTATTTTCTTTCTCTAGTCTTATTTATATTTATATTTTTCTATCTGTTATTTTTATTATGTATTTATAAAATTATACGGAAAGTTTTGTTCTTTTGTTTGTTCAATTATATTAGCCGTGTGACAGTCAATTTGTTTTATTTTTCTTAATAATAAAACTTAAAAAATCTCCCAAAATATTTTAATGGTATGTATTAGCTGGTTAGATGTGATTGATTCGTTTTCTTTTTGTCGTTTTTTATTCTTTTTTGTTTATTTTTAATTTTTGCTAACCTACATTTTTTCAGATTTCCTGTGAGTGTTACATCTAAAAGCATGAGAATGTCTAGAAAACATTTTTTTGATAATTTTTTATATTTTTTATTATTTTCTTGCAGATTATGGTGACAAACGTAACCTCACTTTTGAAAACTGTCAAAGCCGTTGAAGACGAACACACCAGAGGGACAAGAGCTTTGGAGTCGACAGTCGAAGCTATTGGGCAAGAAATGAGGGTAATAATAAGTGGCTTATTTTATTTATTTATTTTTTTTCCATAGCAACTATTAAAATTTCCTTATATCTATCAAAAATAGTAGATTAAATAGTACTTTAACCGCAAAGGTAGATTAAATGATACTTTAACAGTCAGGAGAGGTTAAAAACTTTATTTCTTCTCGCACGTTTTTTAATTGCTTCCATTTTTAAAAATTTTTGTATTCCTTTTCATAAGTTATTCGGGATTTAAATGGAAGTAGTTTGGATATGGCGTTTGTCGCCTCAGCCTGAATATCTGTTGGTAATTTACTTATTTCGTTTTGAGTCATTTCTGGCTCCAATTCAATCAGCAATCGACACGAAAGAGAATTAAAAAATATTGATTCAAAACTGACAACTAAAGAGACAGCTTTATTTATTTGGCACATTACATAGAAACCAACGCCAACTCAGCACAATATTTTTTCTACTCGTAATAAATTCCTTGAAATAATAATTTCTGAATATTTTTTAAAACGTAACTCGCTATGGAAAAAATGTTGTTTTATACACGACGATAAAATTGCATTATCGTAAATTACCATTTTATCGTCTTGTATAAAAAATAACTATTATTTTTTTCTTTAGAAGATTTTTTTTACATTTTAGAAGTCTCTTATCTTATTAATCATAAACTAAATAAATAACTCATATAGGTAAAGAGGTTTTTAATTATAGTTAATTTTATTTCTTCAGACCCTGTATTCTAGTGAAGGTTGCAAACCAAACGTGACAGCCGAAGACCTGATTCGCTGCACAAAGAATATCACTAACGCCACAGCCAAATCAGTATCAGCAGGAATCAGCAATAAACAAGACGATATCATCGGTAAATATTGATTTAGAATCTGGTCTTATAGTAGTTAAAAAATTCAAAATAACCTGATTCATGTTCTGACACAATGTCTGTCCAGATTTATCCACTTTACATAGTCACAAAAATTCAAATTTGTCAAGAGATATGTCAAAACTAGTTAGTGTCTCAAAAAATTCTTAATTTTTCTACAGAATAAATTAAAAAACTTGTATTTAACTATTTTTTTTCAGCTGCTGCAAACATATCCAGGAAAGCCATCTCGGACATGCTTGTCACTTGCAAGAGCGCCGCCTATAACTTAGCAGAAACGCACGAACTAAGGGAAGAAACTCTGAACGCAGGCAACGTATGCGCTAGAGACTTCCGTCAGTTACTGATCACCATCTTGGAAGGCAACGGATCAGCTGATATGAAACAGACGTTGCCTATCATATCCAGAAAGATAGCTCAGTCGGTGACAGAGTTGGTCAGCATAGCCAAGAGATTGAAAGGTAGGTAGTATTAAAAGTAAAAAACAAAATATTCAGTAAAACACAGAATACACATCAGCTTTGCTTAGGGTTGTAATTAAACAACCATAGAGAGGATTGATTAGAACTTCATTACTAATTGCAAATTATTTTTTTAGGATCTGATTGGGTGGATCCTGATGACCCTACCGTTATAGCTGAAAACGAACTACTTGGAGCAGCCGCCTCAATTGATGCCGCAGCTAAGAAGTTGGCTAGTCTACGACCTAGGCAATCTGTTAAGGTACGTGTATATATTTTAATTCTTCATTTAATATTTTTTTATGTAAATATACAATTATCATATATAATATAATAGGAATTTCGCTATAGCAAGCAAAAAACACTTTATATCTAACGCTGTAAGATATGTTTGATATTCTTGGTTGTCGTTTTGCAAGCACCCAGGAGTCAAACATATTATTACAGAGTTGGTAAAGATCATCGGTTTTTTTGCCGGCTTTTAATGAGGTAAGTTCTAATATATTATCAGTATTAGACATGAGAATAATGAGATTATACACAGTAACTCACTTGCACCTCAGCCTATACATTAGACAGCTAGTCGACTTATGATCATTTACATGGAACTCTGTAGTATAGTCTATAAAATGAATAACTTTGAATTTTGACCGTTATTTTTTACCAATATGGCAAATATAAAATCCCTCTGTCAAAAAAGTTACTGATATTCTTTAAATTGAGTGCCTGAACGAATCAGATAGGTAACTCTTTTTACTTTCGTGAAATAGAAAAGGAAAATAATAAAACAAGTGACAGTTCTTCCTCTTCTTGCAAAAATCAACCCGAAATGTCATAATTGCCAAAAGTAAAATGTCATCAGCGTTTGACATTTCTAAATATCAAACCAATGCCGTCTCTAATAGAACAGCCACGGAGCGAGATTTATGACGTCACGCTAATTAGATACTAAGGATTAATAAATATGTTGTAAAATACATGGAAAACATAATTATTCCTCGTATTTTTGGTTTGTATTTTAAAAATGATATAGTTTACATGAAATATATATAATATACAGTTAATAAATACAATATATATACCTCTTTATAGTAATAAATACTTTGGCAAATAAATTATAAACCATACAAATGCAGCAAATGTTTTACAATATACAAATAATGAATAGGTACGTAAGATAATGGGTAAAATGTAAAATATATTTTAAATTTTGGTGTTTGAAAATCGATCTAATTTAACAAAAAACATTCAATATCTACTAATAGTGATGTATTATTATTGCATTCACAAAATTTATATGTATATTTTGCAAGTATCAATGTTCGAAAAATTATATTTGCAAATAATACAATATCATAGAAAAAAGGCGTCAGCGATGGCTATAAAATAAAGATCGCTGTCATTTTATATGTAAAATTATTCTAAAATTTTTGATTTTCTTGGAATTTAGGTTAGGATGGAGTACGATTTCAGCCATAGTCAATGTAGATAGTTAGTGTTAAGAATAATAATTTTAAAAAATAAACAAAATATTAAAAATAAACAAAGACAATAAATAATAATGAATTAATATTATTAAAAAAGTTATTAACTGTATATTATGTATATTTCATGTAAACTATATCAGTTTTAAAATACGAGGAAATTTTTTCCATGTATTCTACAACATATTTATTAATCCGTAGTATTTAACTAGCGTGAGGTCATAAATCTCACTCCGAGGCTGTTGTATTAGAGACGGCATTGCGTCAGCATGGCCGCAAGTTGCTAACCTAATAAAATTAACACTAGAAAAGCGCGCGGGAACTGTCAAATTCAAAGTTATTCGTTTCACAGACTATACCTACCTAGATATTCGCTTATATTATGTAACAAGTCAAATTGTGAGCGTTCCATTGAAGCGTCGTTCATAAAACTATCGAGACTGGTGCTCTTGCTAACAAAGTCGACTGGCTGTCTAATGAATAGGCTGTGACGAAACTAAGACGAATAAATCATGGTTGAATAATTGTTCACTTTTTTCTTGCGTTTATTTTAACTTCTAGATGTATTTAGAGTCAGTCAATATACAGGGTCGCTTTTATGTATGAAAACGGTCGATTATTAGGTAAAATATAGGAGGTACCGCAAAAAGTTAAATACAAAAGTTATACTCTGTTTTTTTTCTCAGGTAAGATTTCGACAGACAATGACAGAAGAAAAGCAGATGACGTCCCATACCAATCTATATATTTTACTAAAAAAAGTTTCTAATAATTTTTAATATTATAGTTGAGGGTTGGAACCTTTGGTGTTACACAGCAAAATAAAATTACACTAAATCACCACAATACACCAAAACACTTTTACTTTTACACTGAAAACAGTGTAAAAGTAAAAGTGTTTTGGTGTATTGTGGGGATTTAGTGTAATTTTATTTTGCAATAATTTTTAAGTTAACTATGGATGGGTTTAAATATAAATTCGTGATGCGTCGTCACTTGTTGTTTTTATCCAGTTTTATTGGTTTATTTCAAAAATGACAGATCGTATTTCAATTTTATTGGTTTGACGGAACGATGAACGACAAACGGACGCCGATGCGTATGAACCCGCCTTTAGATTTTGACGTTTGTCAAAGTCTTGCCAAATTATAGGTTATAATTTTGTGACAACTTTTGTCAAATACCCAGCGTTTTGGAAGATGATGCATTTTGATTCGTGTTATTACGTGTGTTTTGTGTCTTTTGAAGTCAAGTGGAGGAAAAATTGAGTGAAAATTAACTGTAGAACCCAGAGCACAGTTTATGGTTAATACTCGCTGCCCAGGCAAGTCTTATACAGATACACCAATAAAGTTACTATCAATAAAGTTCGTATACCATCTCGTCGTAGATAAGTGCATCACGAATATGGTAGAAGGACCATACTAAACCCATACTAAAAACTGGAGTAGCTGTAAAATATCGACATCACACGATAGGTAAAATAATGGATTTTAGTACTGCAGAAAAATAATGTCAAAAGGTACTGGTTTAAAAAAATTAAGATTAAAGTTAATTAATCAACCTGTGAGGTATAAAATTTGGTAAGTGTTATTATTAATAAAATAGTTTGTTTTATTTATTTTGTTTTATTTATTCCTGCGGAATATTACAAATTTGTATTTGTACATAAGTTATATTGATAAATATAATCATAAATGCGGGAAGTTTCATAAAGCTTGAAAGTAAGAAATAGTTCTTTTTTATATTTTTTGGTATGTGGTGTATTGTTTTTGTTTGTTTTGTATTAACACATGCCGTTTTTTATCAAATAAAATAACTCGATTACATTTTTTCAGTTTTATACAGTTTTTTTCACAATATTTTGAAGTTACTTGTCAGTCAAATTTTAAATACATATATTTATTTCCTGCTATGCGTTCCAGTTGTACCAACTTATTTCTTTGTAAAATAAAATAAACTACTTTGAAATTAAAATGACAGACACATCTATCACTGTCAAGGATCTTCTCGTTGGACAGACTATATAGGATTTTTAAATATCTATTAGTGAGTAATAAATTTAAGTATACAGGGTCGTTCATAAAATCGTGGCACATCAAAGTTTCATTTTTTTAAATAGAACCTCCTGTATATTATTACATATTTCAATTCTTCCTTCAATTCTAAGCAGAAATCGAAATAACCACAATGTACCTCAAAGCAACGGTTTCCGAGTTATTAACTTTTGAAAATATCATTTAAACAATTCGATTTAATTAATTTCGATGTGTTTGGTTTGATTTAATGATGCCATTCTGTGACCCATTCAACTGTGATACTGTTGTAATGGGTTTTCAAATTCCTATTAGCTACTAGTAAGTTTAAGTATACAGGGTCGGTCATAAAGTTGTGTCACATCAAACTTTATTTTTTTTTTAAATGAAACCCTCTGTATATTATTGCATATTTCAATTCTTTCTTCAATTTTAAACAATAATCGTAATACACAATGTACATAAATTAAAGAATTGAAATGTTAATCGAAAATTTTGTAATTTCCAGACTCGCTATACTCTCATTTTATACATCTATAAATGCTAACTTGAGAACTAATGTCAAATATTATTAAGTATCACAGTTTCGGCAAAATGGCATCGTTAAATGAAACTGAACATATCGAAATTAATTAAATCAAATTGTTTAAGTGATATTTTCAAAAGTCAATAACTCGGAAACGGTTGGTATGAGGTACATTGTGTGTATTTCGATTTTTGCTTAGAATTGAAGAACTGAAATATGCAATAATATACAGGGGGTTCCATTTAAAAAAATGAAACTTTGATTTGCCACGACTTTATGACGGACCCTGTATACTTAAATTTATTACCTGCTAATAGATATTTATAAACCCTATAACTTCTATATTTAACTTTTTGCGGTACCTCCTATATTTTACCTAATCGACCGTTTCCATGCATAAAAGCTGTAAAAAAATCCTGTATACCTGTATAATAAGTGTTTAAAGACGTTTTTTTTTTTATTTTATGATTCCTTCCAGACTCAAGATCCAGGATTTGAATCGATGAACTTCGACGAAATGATTCTAGAAGCCGCCAAATCTATCACTGCCGCAACTTCCGCTTTGATCAAAGCCGCCAGCGCCGCTCAGAGGGAACTAATTGACAGTGGAAAAGTGTCAAGGTTAGTTTACTTAACATCAGGGTTGGCATGATTTAAATCATTTAATTTAAATCGATTTAAATCAAGTGATTTTTTTAATATTAATCATTGATTTAAATAAAAAAAATATTACAACTTTATTATAAATCAAAAAATAACTGTAAAAGTTATAAAAATGTGTCCTAGAAAACTATAAAAAATATTTCTATAAAAGATATAACAGATAATAAATCGAAAAGTAATCGTAAATGTTATAAAACTATTTAAAAAAAAGTATCTATTCATCAATTTAAATGTTGGACCGATTTTTGAAGTAATTTCGTGTGAATCCATTAGACCGCTAAACGCAGGGATTTATTTTAAAATTTATGTATAAGTGACAAAAATTCGCTGTTCGAATACATATCATTCGCAGTCTAGTGCAGAACTAGGTTCTTCTGATATAGAGACTATATCTTCATTCCCGAGAATCTATAATAATAATTGTTGTCAGGAAATATGTTGTTTTATATTTTTTTTGAAATGATTGTATTTTTCCAAATTCTTACCGACATTTTGATCTGCAGTAAGTATTGCACTTTGACTAATACTAATTTCAGTCTCGACTTAAGAGTATTTCCGAACAATAATGTTGTTAAATTGTTTTATTAGGAGTAAAAATTATACTTTTTGGTGAGCTTGTAGACGGTAAGAGGAGGCCGGGTGGACAACTCAAAAAGTTCAAGGATATTTTCCACGAAAACTTAAAGGAAATTAACAAGCAGAATGAGTGGGAAGAGGCAGCTCACAATAGAACGGAATGGAGAAGAATTGTAAAGTCAGTTAAGAGCGACAACCAAAAAGACCAAAAAGTAAAGAGGCAACAAAGCAATGAGATTTTTGAATGTCTGGAGTGCGGTAGACAGATAACATCACGTATCGGGCTTTTCAGTCACAGAAAAGCTCATGAAAGAAAACGCCTTGCGGGACCATCTTCTGATGCGTGTCAAATACTCGTCAGCGAGTAATGGCGGTATGTATGTATGTATGTAAAAATTATACTTTTTTTGATGATGCCGTACCTTTGAAGGACCATCGTAAAACTATTCCGACGTTACAAAGAAGGACAAAAAGTATATTTTTACTCCTAATAGAAAATACATACTATTTTTTTAAAACATTACAAATCGTTTTTAATCAATTTCAAACATTGCAAATAATATAAACAGGAATCGAGCAACAATTTGTACACTCGTTGAATTTGACACTTAATATCAGTTTAATAATATATTTTTGTACTTTTGTGCTTAGGCGTAACCGTGCTTTACATACCTAGGCGTTAAAATGACAAAAATTAATACTTTTGAGACGTTTGAAAAAAAATCCTTTTGATCTGAAGCGAGCCATTTTTTTGCAAAATATATTAGTGACCGATGTGGAAAAATGACAAACACACCTTAGAACTATTAATGTTATCGATAACGGGTAGAGTTATAAAAATTTAGCCATTTAGGATAGGACTTTAATTGGAAATAAGTCCTAGTCATTTGGAAATCCGATTTAAATATTGTTTTGAATTAAAATCAAAAAAATCTGATTTAAATCACAAAAATCTGATTTATATCAAATAAATCTGATTTTTTTTATTTTTTAAAAAAATCATGATTTTTTCCAACCCTGCTTAACATAGACCTTATAGGTTATAAAAATATTTAAGCAGTACTATAATTGCGATATTAATATAACATTTTACTTTGCAGACATCCAATATCATCTTCTGATGATGGCCAATGGTCGGAAGGTCTTATATCAGCTGCCAGGCTTGTAGCAGCAGCAACGCATAGTTTGGTAGAAAGTGCTAATGCTCTAGTCCAAGGTAATACCTAATATTTTAATTTTATTGTGTTCCCAACAAAGACAAAGACTATTACCAACAAATGTATATTAACATATTTTTTTTTTGTTTAGGCTTGGGTAGCGAAGACAAGCTGATTGCTGCTGCTAAGCAAGTTGCCAGTTCAACAGCGCACCTATTGGTCGCTTGCAAAGTTAAAGCCGAGGGAGATACGGACGCTACGAGAAGGCTACACGCTGCCGGAAATGCGGTTATTAGATCAACAGATAATTTAGTCAGAGCCGCTCAGCAATCAAAACAAGTCGAAGAAGAAAGGTAGGTTGAATTAAAAGACATTTTGGATCTTTGGTAAAAGAAAAACTCTTTCGTTCTATTGGCCTATTGGGCAACGACACTTCCAGTTCTATTGTGTTCCTCTTCCTATCCTCTGCCCTAAATTTTGACAAGTGAATTGAACAAAATCATCATGGTATCATGGTGATAAGTTCTGACCCTGTAAGAAGTTTTCAATACATCACAAACGGAATATTAAACACACACTAAAAAGAATGATTAATAGATCCAAAATTACTGACTAAAATTTATATATGTATTTAAGATAATAAAAAATATATAGTAGAATACTTTAACTAGTGTTTTTCCGGTAATATATATTATTTCTTTCTTTCAGATATCTGGTAATAAACAAAAAAATGGTTGGAGGTATTGCCCAAGAATTGGATGCTCAATCTGAAGTGGTCAGGATTGAGAGAGAGTTAGACGATGCAAGGAGCAAGCTAGCTGCTATTAGGCAGGCTAGATACAAACTCAAAGGTAATTTGTTTATTTGTAATAATAATTATAATTCTCGGCTTATCTATGGAGTTTACAACTGTATTTGTCTACAACGGCTCCTAACAGTTTTTTTATTAACTATCTGTCTCATCAAAAAAAGAACTAATTTTTTTAATGGCTCATTCATTATCCTAGTTTGATTTTGTTATGAATATGTATTTAGAATTCTGTTATATTTTCAGGTTATGAGACGTCGGGCGACGAAACTGACGGTTACGGAGGCTCCGCCTCCGAACAGGACATACGGTGAGTCAAAAGGTGTGTCGTTCGTCTCTATGCTAACTCCCGCACCCCCTGTATATTTCGTCCTATTTTACCACCTCTACTTAATATTAACCTTGTGGCAGTATGGTATAGTATACTTAAAAAAAAACAGGGATAACTTAAAATTTAAACGTTTGTTTTAATATTGTATCATCAGGCATGTTAAATTAGTGTAACAAGACAAAAAGACTAAGGAACGAGTTTTGAGTTCAGTGAGCGCTTTTCTGTTTGCATTTTGTAGTATTTCTCGTTTGTTTTATAATTTCTTTTACGCAAAGTGTATACATCTGGTAAGATATTGTGTCAGAACTTGAATTACAGTGAGATTTTTGTTAATCTTGGAGGAAGTCATCTAAAATTTCAGTAATTTGCTCAGCTTGCAATCATTACTAAAAACGAGAAATAAAAAGGAACAACTTAATTAACAATAGTTAATTAATTCAACTTAAAAACAAATCCAACAAATTTTTAAAGGCCTCTGATCAACGGGAAGTCATTGATATTAAAACGCTCCAAAAGTTTCTTGATTTTACTCCTTCTTGAGCCTTTTGTTTAATGATTAAACTATTTTAAGATATCCTTGCTATAGTCCGTACAAAGATCATTCAACGTTACGTCATCATTATTTATCTAATATCCGTTTTAGGGCGTGTCTGAGATCAGTTCATATTGTTATTAAATTCGTAAATCATATATACTTACGTAGATAAGTGAATAACTTCAAAAATTGTCGTAAATATATCAACGACATACTGTTATCTTATTTATCTGTTGCATACGCATTACTACTACGCTATCTATCCTTGGTCAGGAAATATCTATCATCCAAGCGCCAAATTTGAATATGAATTTTAAAAATTGATATACAACTATGAATAAAGAAACTTAAAATTAACAGGCAGTTCCTAGGGTTATCCCTAACGATAGTTAATTTGTACTTTTTTAATCATATAAAAATGTAAACTTCCATGATCTATTTCATCTTGTTTTCACCTGAAGAATAGAGTACGAGAATATAATATGACGTAATGATGAGCGTTGGTTATACAGGCTATATTTTTTTTATTTTATTTGGTATTTATTTGAACTAAGTGGTGTTTTTTTTTTCTTTAATATACATATCGTACAGAATTGTCAGGCTTTGTCAAACTACTTTAACATATCTGCAAGTGAATTATCATATATTTTTGCCTAAATAAAATACAAATTCGTTTTTTTTAGAATTGTACGATATGTATATTTATTACAATTTATTTATAACTCTGTAGTTATACTTAAACTTTTCGAATGTTTTTTTTATTGCTTGCTACTGTTTTGCCTTGCTAACTGTTTTTTCTTTTATATTCCACTAACTGTTCGTTTTGGTTGCATGCACAGCATCAAGATTACGTATTAATCGATGTCGTTAACACACAGGTAAGTCCGTCTGATTTTTAAAACATTAAAAACAGACTAAAAACCAGTACTAGATCATTTATACTTCGTGGATACCTCTACCCCATAACTTTTGCATGATAACTATTTTGTCTTCACCTTGAATGTGACACGATACAGAAAGCAAAATGAAACTTAAAAATGAAAACAAAGCAAAAGCGCCAAGTCAGTAGATGGAAAATGACTATGTCATATAAGGTCTTCAATTATGGTGACATTCTAGAATTATTCTGTTTGCATTAGATCTGTTCTGTACTTTCAAAGTGTAAAAAATGCCTCTGTTGTTTTATCCACGAAAGTATAATATGATTTAGAAACCAAAAAACCAACACAGCGTCTTTAAAAAGAGCCTCTTTTAACTAAGCTATTTCATTTACAGGTCTAGATCTCCGTACCAACCCAGCGCCACAAAGTACTACCAAGACTCCTACAGCCATCTGGAAAGCCCCGACAAAATCAACTCTTTGGAACGCACCAAAAAATCTAGTCCCTTACTAAGTGCAATAAACGATTTGGACCAAGCAGTATACGGAGGCACCAACAGTTACGGTCAAACCAACGCTGGGTATGGCACAACCACCAGTCCGTATGGCCAAAACTACCAATCGTCCCCCGTGGGAGGGTACACTACTTCTCCCAGCCCTTACAGCGGTCAAACACCCCAACCTTATTCTTACGAAACTTACAGTCAAGCCAGAGGAAGTCCTAAACCTAACATAAGTTCTCCGACATATAAAACGCCTAGTTTTGGTACTGGTACCTTCCAGTCTTCGTTGAACGCGCCTAAAAGTTATGGAACCACCACAAATACCTCTCCTAAACCTTTCAGTACTTCTCCACAGCCACCTCCAGTACCTAGTTATCCAGAATCTTACACGAGGACTGATCAAAAAAGTACCGGGTCTCCACAGCCTGGATACCAGAGTACTAGTAGCGAGTCTTATGTTAGATCAGAGCAACAACAAAAACCTGGGAGTGCTTTTGACCGGTACTCTACGACAAGTACCTTTAAACCAGCCCAAGTGAGTTTAGGAGGTGGTGATGGACTTACTAAGTCAGAATACAGTACTAACACTTATAAAACACCCGAAGGTTACCGTACTGACACTTATAAATACGAGTACTACAAATCGGAACCTAAGACAACGTATTCTTCTGCCAGTGAGAAGTACTACACGACAACCAACGTCAAAGACGGTCTGGGTAATGTCATAAGTTCGATACAAGCACCTCTGAGTCCAAAAGATGTATTCCAAACGTTCAAAAATGGTGGTACGGATGAACAGTACCAATCTTCATATTCCTCGAACGTAGAATATATTAACGAACCTCCGATACTAAAGGACGACTGTTTGGAACAGAAATCGATAAAAAAATCGATGACTGAGCAGGTGTTTGAAAAAAAGACTACCACAACCACTAAGTCGACTAAGCAAGAATCTCAGTTGAAGTCTTTTAAGTTCCCGTAAAGGAGAAAATATTTGTGGTGTTTCCTTGAAAGAAACGAAAAAAAAAGTGTCATAGTAAACTGTAAAAATTAAATTTACGTTACAGTAATAAGAGAGAGAATTTTCAATGTCCCAACTCAATAGGGTAATAAAACTAAAGTGTTCACATAATGATAACTGCCATTTTGTTTTGCAAATGAATGTAAAGTACACTCTCTGAATGGCTTACTACTTACTATGACACCTTTTTTTCTAGTAATTATTTAAAATAAAAAGAATATGCACAATAAGTGTCCTTTTTTCAAAATGGTGCTAAACAAACCAATTATTTTGCTTTTAAGGCATTTTTTCGAGAATTAAATAAGTAAAAATCCTCGAAATATTTTTTTTAATTAACCAAATAAATTAACATTGTCGTGACTTGTATATTAATTATTTGAATAGATTTTTTAATGTGCCAATAATGTTTTCATCTTTTTTTTCTGTTATAGAGAGCTTTATTATATATGTATGTACGTATTTAATTTTAATTATTGTAGTTATTTTATTATATTGTAGCTAACGTCGGTTTTGAAAATATTTAACTGTATATTTTTTCGATTTACTTTACTACTTAAATTTAGATACTTAATATTGTTAGATAAACTGTTTCAAAAGTGCCTAAAATTTCAAAGAGCTTCTGCTGTGGTATAACAAATAAGAGATACATGAAACCTTAGTGCCTAAAAAGAGATAAAAAAACTTTTTTCACGTCTTTTTACAAAACACATTGCATTTTATTAATTATTCTTAAAATAGATGGATTGTTTATATTTTTTAATTTATATGTAACATTTGTAGGTGTTTTACACTGTCGATGTGTTGAATAAAGATTTTAACAAATATATTTATTGTTTTGATTTACCCAAACAAATAGGAACATAAGAGCAAGGAGATAAAAATAATATGACAGTTAAATTTCTTGACAAAATGGTGAATGCAACTTCTTACTCCTGGTATCAAAATATACCTCCTTGCTCTTATATGCTCCTGGTACAAATTTAAGAATTCTATTCGCTAAGACATTTAAATTTCTTGACAAAATGGTGAATGCAACTTCTTACTCCTGGTATCGAAAAATACCTTCTCCCTCTTATATGCTCCTGGTACAAATTTAAGAATTATTATATTGGCTATGACATTTAAATTTCTTGACAAAATGGTGAATGCAACTTCTTACTCCTGGTATCGAAAAATACCTCCTCGCTCTCATATGCTCCTGATCGAAAATCCAAGCGTCAGTTTTTAACAAAAGGTAGTCAAAATAAATTCCACATGGCAAAAATCAGAGGACTTGACCAACGAGTTCGAACGAGTTAGATTTTTTAGGAAAACGGCCATAACTTCTAAACTATAAGAGATATCAAGGAACGGAAGTCGGCATTCGATTCGCCTTTCAACCCTCTATAAGGGTGCAAAATAAGGGCGCGATCGGAGACAAAAAAAAATTTTCGGCAAAAATGAAGGAAGGTTAACCCCTTACCTCATTTTTCGCCAAAAATATTTTTTGTTTCCGATCGCGCCCTCGTTTTGCGCCCTTATAGAGGGTTGAAATGCCTATCGAAAGCCGAGTTCCGTTCCTCTCTAACCCTTATAGTTTCCGAGATATTAAGGGTTGAAGTTTGGAAACGAGGTCAAAGTGCTAGAGATAGCAAAAATACCGTTGTTTAATGCTATATTTACATGTGGTACTAAATTTACTCCTTACCTCTTCGCCCTTATGTGTTCCTGATAGGAATCGGCGATTTTAACTCGGTTTAAAAATTTTCATGCGGTCTTTGACAAAAATTGAATTTTCTCGGATATGTATCAGGAGCACATAAGAGCGACTAGGTAAATATTGGTACTCAATTTACTCCTTACCTCTTCACACTTATGTGCTCCTGATAAAAATCAATGATTTTGGACACGGATTAAAAATTTTTGTTTAATTTTTGTTAAAAGCTGAATTTTCTCGGATTTGTATCAGGAGTACATAAAAGCGAAGAGGTAATCGTAGGTATTTTATATAAAATACTGCCTATTTCTGAACAACTTATTAAGCTGTTTAGTATTAAAATATATTATTTTTGTGATAATTAAAATACTTACTTTTTGTTCAGGATTAGACAGTATTCCTAGTATGTATATTTTGGTTTAATAAAACTCATTTATTATTAATTATTTTTTATTTATGTACATATTATATTTTATTAACAAAGAGTAATATAAAAAGCATATTAAAATCCAAGGTGTTGATGGGCATGCTGATGTCTATGTTGAGGTAAATAAATCTTCTGGCTACCCTTCTGGAAAGTCTTGGTTCTGTAAGGAAAATATAAAGAAATAATTAAATATTTGTTCACTGACAAGCTTTACTAAAAACTATAGTTTCTATAAATTTATTTTCATTTAATGGGGCATATAAAATATTATAAGACCTATAGAAATTTTCGTAATGTAGAGAACTTTTTTGATAGTAATACAAGGAAAAAACATGGTTAAGTGAGATGTACCTGTAACTAAGTTATATTAATTAAAATAATTGTTAAGAAAGTGTTAAAAGTTAAATTAAAAAAATAAGACGCATATTATAGGCAACTCTATATACAGTTAGAGGTATTTATAGTTGTCTAAAATTAAAAATTATGTAAATAATGTATGTTTAGTTGCCTAACCTAACGTAAATTGTGCGCCAAAATATTTTATTTGAAATTAATCATTTATAGCTACATATATTTTACAAAATACAATAATATTGGGTTCTTAACGTTAATTAACGAGGATATAACGTTAATTAACGTTATATTCAATTTAAAAATACATCTTTTAGGATAATTTACCTAAAATTATTTAGCTTCAATCCACTCTTGAATGTTGAATTTAATCAACCTAATGGCATCTTAAAAATGGTGGTTGAATTGAAGTGCAGCTGTTCCAAAAAATCATTGTTCCAAAGCAGTATATCCATAGCACAATATCCCATTCAATTATATCTCCCGAATTAAAAAAATGCATGAAAATAACTGACGCATCTAGAAAAGCCTCAGAAGAATGACACAAAAAATTATACACACACAATTATATACAATAAGAAAAGTAAGAAATAAAATCGATGAAAGAGTTTATAGAATTGATGAATCATGACATTCCCATAAGGTGAAATAGAAATATGATACACTGGAAAAAATGGCATGAAAATAAATAAGAAAAACGATAATTCTATACAGGCAATAGAAATGTTGGAATAAAAGTCTGAGAAGGCACCAATGACACCAAAAAATTATACAAATGTCTGAATAAGACAATCATTAGATAAGTGATGAACGATGATATTCCAGTAATAAAAAAAATATGGCTGACAAAAATTGTATAACAGGTAGACCAAAAGCAAGAGAAAAAAAATAAAGAAGTATCTGGTCAATAAGAACAAGAAAACTGACAAAAAATTATACTTCCTCTAATGCCTCCTCTAACGAATATCTTGTCAAAATATGACATCAAGCACATAAAGAAAAATCCCCCAGAGCATCAAGTTCGCCACCCCTCATCCGATTTAACCCTTGGCCGACGATTAAGCCTCACCAGTCAGTTCCCATCCCAGCTAAGCAGCCTCGTCTCGGGTCACCCTCGTCACCCATCGAGCGGACATCCACCGGGACCCCCTACAGGCGGACCCCCCTCATCATCTTCAATGTGTCCGATATCCCGTCCCCTGCCTCTTCGAGGGTCACGGAATACGTGCACGAAGAAGTCTCGGAGCTTGGGTGCCAGGTCGTATCCGGCCGAAGCCTCTAGCGTTAGAACACCTAGCTCGTAAACCAGAGGGTGGTGACTCCCTTGGGTACCTATGCATGCTACATAGGTCATCGATGGCCGAACATCAGGGTTAGGGGGTGACCCGGGCCTCCTCTTTTGCGGGGAGGCTAGCTATGATGCTCTGAAGTCGATGTCAATCAGGAAAATTCATTGGAAAAAAGGCTAGGAAAAACAGAAGTGACATCGTCTGTGGACAAGTCAGGTTTTTGAATAAATGGCGGATGCGCCAGGAAATGACCGATAATTAATCCTTATTTTGAGATTTTTAAGTGTGAAAAAATGACATAAAAATGTATCCATCAAAATTATCTACAAGGAATTACACAAGCAAAAATGTATTAGAAAAATAAAAGCATAAGAAATAATGCAAATAAAAGAAACTCATTGAAATACAGGCAATAGACTATTTTATAAAATTAAGAATCATGTTATTATTTCCACAATGGAGAAAATATGGGATTAAAGTTAACCAAAAATAACATGAAGTAGAATTCTAAGTAGATATTTTATCAAAAAAAATGAAGCGGCCAAAAGTCAAATTGGCCTAAATTAAAATAGATGGTCTGAATTTGACTATGATAATAAGGAATCATAAAAATGTAACTCAGAGAATCATTGGAATACGAATTTTTCTACTTAATTAAATTTAGAAATCATGAAATCCACTGATGAACATTAAAAACCAGTATAAACATATTTACCCAAAAGAAATAAAATGTTAAATATACTTAATACCTGATGAATTGTTTGTATTATTTGTGAAATGGATAAATGTACTGCCCTGGAATTGTCTGCATCCATTAATGTGTTGCACAAAATCTATAAAAAAATAAATAAATAAATAGTATTACCATTTCATCATAATTTATATCAACATATCTTTAAAAAATTCAAAAATATTTATTAGGTATTTATATATTCGATTAAAAAAAAAATTTAGTATAATATTTACCTAAAATTATTTAGTTCCTCTTCAATTATGAATTTCATCCTCATTCCACTGTTGAATGTTGAATTTAATCAGCCTGATGGGGATCTTGAAGATATTTTCTAAAATTGGTACATGATGGTATTATTTCCACAATAAAAAAATATGGGAGACAAATCAGGCAAGTAAACCAAAATCAACATTAATTAAAGTTCTAAGTAGATAGTATTCTACCAATAAAAAAGGAAGTGACCAAAAGACAAAAATTAGCCTAAATGAAAAATAATTTGTTGTAGCAAGTCCGTAAAAAAATATAAATGCTATAATAATTTTTTTTTATTTCATATTAAGATTTAATATATCTAAAAAAATAAGGTCAGTCTGTTAATAAACTATTTATTAATAGTTTATTAAAATTATTTTTAAATAATAAATTAAACTTACTTTTACTCACATAGTCGAAGAACAACTCGTAAACCAGAATGATGGCCAAACATCAGGATTATACAAGGGATGACCCAGATCTCTTCTTGTAGGTGCTGTTTATGTGCTGATGTGTATTATTAATAACGCTCCTAAAAAAGAAAATTATAATTATAGCATTATATTAAAACAATGCAAATTTGACATATGACGACAGCGTATAACAATTAAAAAACTATAAAACGTTTTTTTAGTCTGAAAGTATTATGTAACTGTAGAGAATGGGGGACACCTTTGAGTATAAACACTGATTTGTTCTAAAAGACATAGAAAATACTTGATTGCCTGTACAAACAAACACCAAAAAAATTATCTTTAGGAATAAAAACATGAAACTCTACCAAAGAAATAATGGCGGAAATAATACTTAAATATTTCTAAATATGAAGCAATATTCTAAGTAACTTTAATTTCATTGTACAATAGAGACATCACGGAATGTATATATATTTCCATATACTCGATTTTGAAAAAGGAAATTATGAAAATAAGAAAATATATCAGCTTTGAATGATGATGTAATTGAAATATTTGAAAGTGAAAAAATCTATAGAAAACAGACAAAGTAATGAGTACTTACATTTTCAGGGGATTAAACAGGCCTTAAGGAACAGAATAAACTCAAATAGTACACAGAAAAAGCACTTTTTCTATCAAAATATCAGTAATATTTAAGAGCGATATAACTTCACCCTAATAATAAGAACGGAAAATGTCTACTGTCAATGTTGTCAGATTGAACATATGTAAAATGGCCATTTTTTGCTGCATAAATAATACTGCGTCTAAAAGAAAATATATTATTTATTTTACTGAAACCCTAGTTTGTATTAAATGTTTGTTAGATTTATCATGATTTTGTAACGATCCAACTGATTTTAGACTGACAAAAATATTGATTTAGATTAGTTTCAGGACTCCATAGCAAAGAATATCTTAATACCCTAGAAGTCTCGTTTGGCATCAAAATCTGACCTGTCGATGGGGCCTCGCTTTGGCGAGCGAGGCCCCAACTTCGTGGAGCCTCGCTATTTTGCTCGGAATTGAACGAATAGACGCGCGGCGTTGCCTTGTTTTGTGTGTACTTTCTTGAATAGTTTTAAATTATAGTTTTAAATTTTATCTATTACCATAATCAGTCTTTCCGTTCTCCGCACTCCGCAGTTTACATATAATATTATCTTATATAATTCCCGTGTTACAGTTTTGGTTACCGTACTCCTCCGAAACGGCTTAACCGATTTTGATGAAATTTTATATGTATATTCAGTAGGTCTGAGAATAGGTAGTTATATATTTTTTATACCCTTAAATGATATATTTTATTTTATTTGGCTGTATGAACCCACCAGTAGAGCAATATTAAATATTAAAATATACAAAAATTAGCAAAGGACGTTAATTTTTAAGAAACAAAAATGAATTTTATGCTAAAGAATCCAACCGTTTATATCAAAAACGCTCAGGATTCAAGAAAAAGTATTCACACTAGTTTTATTATATCCTGTATACACTAATGCTGAATTTTATAGTTGTCTTTTACAGGAAAAAAATAGAGAATTTCAACAGTTTTTAAAAATAAACCGATTTATCATTGCACCAGGTAAAATGTACTCTTTGTTGTATAGAGGATATGATTGGAAATATTGAATCACAATGCCCCAAAATGGAATGTTGTATGAAAAACGCTCTTACTGATTTATACAGACAGAACATGTACGAAATCTCATAATACTTACAAAATAACTTAATATGGTCAAATAATGTAATTTCTTGTTTCTAGACTAAGATATATAACAAATTTAAAAGAATAGAACACAAATATGAATAGTTTTAGCTGTTTCAGAGTTTTTAATATTAGCTGTATATTTAGATCAACAAAATAGCTGAAATTTTACAGGTTTGTTTGGAAGAAATTGAACTTAATGCCAAACAAGTCAATGCCTGCAGTGTTATTTAGGGTTCTCTATATGAGAATGTAAAAATGAAATACTGTGTTTTAATAAAATCTTTTATTTTAATCTAATACTAATTTCCCTAAACTAGTGGTCATATTGACATCTGGCAATGTCTCAGTTACAATTCCAGTAGCCACAGTTATATTATTCTCCCTAATTGTAAATTGCTGACCAGAGGTCATAACCATTTTGTTTAAAAGTGTTAATTTTACTTTCCCATGTTCTCCAGGCATTATCATACTGATTCCATCATCTGATAAACAAATGATGAGAGAATTAGAAAATTATTCCTCAATAACTTCAGGATACAACAATAATATCATTTTAAATATTGTTAGGCGACTTTTCAAGTTTAATTACATTCACGGATGCTTACCCATATCAATTCTACAAGCTATGCTCCATGTTTTGCTAAATAACTGTTGACAGTATTTGCCTAGTATTGGTTTGGACCTGCCTCCTTCTGCTCTGGTTAAAAAGTAAATGCTAGCTTTAAACCTGTTGGTTAGCTGTTGACTACCTGGAGCGCATAGTAGCATGCCTTTTCGCACATCTTTGAGCTTTATACCACGAACCAAAGTACCGACATTCTCTCCAGCTTTTGCCTATGAAAAAAAAAACAGTTTTAGATTATGTATCCAGTATATAAAAAAAGTCTTGGTCCTTGTATTTTTTAGTCACATACACCTACTTACTTCTGGCACACTTTTTTTAAACACCTGTATATCAATCATGGTAGTTTTTAATTTCACATCAAAACCCAATAACTCTGCCTCTTTATTTTTGTGAATTACACCTCTACTAATAGTACCGACAAGAACTGTTCCTCGACCTGGTACAAGAAATGCATTATCAATTGGTAAAATAAATGGTGATTTATAGTCCCTTTCCGGGAACGGGATATATGAATCGATTGTATCTAATAATTTCTGTATAGATTTGCTTCCTATATCAGTATCAACACCTTTCAGCGCCTCTAAGGCTGAACCAAAGATAACAGGGCAATTACTACCATCAAATCCAAAATCTTCAAGAAGTTCCCTTATTTCCAACTCTACAAGCTCTAAAATCTGTTCATTTTTATAAACAGCTCGTTTGGTATTCAAAAAACAAATAAAACTTACCTCCATATCCACCAAGTCTGCTTTATTAACATAAACAACTATCTTTGTAATTCCTACTTGTTTGGCTAACAATAAGTGTTCCCTAGTTTGAGGCATCTGTCCATCAGTGGCTGCAACAACTAGAATAGCTCCATCCATTTGCGAGGCCCCAGAGATCATGTTCTTGATATAATCAGCATGACCTGGACAGTCTGTGTGAGCATAGTGACGAGTTTTTGTACTGTAACCAACATGGCATGCATTTATTGTTATTCCTACGATTAAAACAACGTTATTATAGCTATTTATTCGAAACAAATCGTTTCATACCTCTTGCTTTTTCTTCTGGGGCTCTATCAATCTCATCGTATGATATATATTTAGCTAATCCTTCTTTTTCTAAATATTTCGTTATGGCCGCAGTGAGAGTTGTTTTACCATGATCAACATGTCCTATTGTCCCTATATTAACGTGTTTCTTATCGCCACCTTCTTTCTGAGCTAGTTTTGGGGCCTCTTTTCCATAATACCTTTTTAAATTTGCCGCAACTGGTTTGATTTCGCGAGAAAATGCGAGGTTATGTCGCGCTTTTTGACAAACCTGACAAAAGGATGATAATTTTTTGTTCTCCGTCAAGATTAATTTTTGTTGTTGAGAAATTGCGAGTCCTAGGGTCCGGATTAAACTCACCGAAGGCATTTTTCCAATATTCTTAAAGGTAAAACCTTATTAAACTTAAATAAAAATTATAACATTTTTTACAACAATCTTCTTAACGCCTGCGCCTGATTTTACCAGCGTTGCCAAATTTTGTTTCGTAATCGAAAAATTAACTAAAAAGAATATTGTTTCTTTCAAGTTATTTGTTATATAAAACCTAAAGAATATGTACGACAGGGATATTCTAGAAAACTATTTAATTATTTATTGAATAATAAAAATAAATTACATAAATCGAAGCCTTTGACATTTGACCACCTGGCAACACTGGTGCACTTTCGGTCAGCCAGTCCGTGAAGTGGCAAAAGGTTAGTTTAGTTTGTGTTTAATTTTCTTAAATATTACTGCTTGTTTTTATTTCTAAAAGGTGTCTGCTTATTTATTATTCATTTCATTTTATAGCCAATAAAATAACGTGGGTATTTGCGTTTTACCCGAGCTTCTAAAGTTCATCTGATGGATACATAATCCATTACATAACTTACATAAAATTCCACATTCCATGGATAATTTGAACTTGATATACGCTTATTTACTGTAAAAGGAGATTAATAGTGATTTATTTTCAGAGGGTAACCGAAAATGTTGGGTCGATTCGGTACAGTGGTCACTGTGGTGGCCCAAAATGCTCCCATCCAGCAACAACAGAGGGGCATGGCCACATTAAAGGCCATCTCCATTCGTCTAAAGTCTGTTAAAAACATTCAAAAAATCACTCAGTCCATGAAGATGGTGTCAGCAGCCAAATATGCCCGTGCTGAACGTGAATTGAAACAAGTAATACATTTTCCTTGTGATTTAAAGACAAATAAAGTGAGTCTCTGTATTCCAGGTAAGACCTATCGGAGATGGAGCCAAACAATTCTATGAAAAAGCTGAAGTTGGTCCACCAGAAGCAATTCCAGAAAAGCTGGTTATTGCCATGACTTCTGACAGAGGTATTTCATGTCATATACATTTATAAGTTCTCTAATATGTAATTTATTGTAAAATAGGTCTTTGTGGTGCTGTCCATACATCCATTGCCCGTTATATTCGTAACGAACTGGCCAAGGACGACCAAAACATCAAAGTTGTGTGTGTAGGAGACAAGTCTCGTGCTATCTTGTCCCGTATTTATGGAAAGAACATTATTTTGGCTGGTAACGAAGTAGGACGTTTGCCACCTACTTTCTTAGATGCTGCCAAGTTGGCCGATGCCATTTTGAAAAGTGGTTACAAGTTTGGTTCTGGAGAGATCATTTACAACCGTTTCAAGTCGGTTGTGTCATACACTACTAGTACTCTGCCTGTTTTTAGCTTGGAATCAGTTTCAGTAAGTACTATTTGCAAAATATCAACTTTTTTATTAAAATTGTTCATAAAATTTTGAGGAACTATTCATATTTTTCTTTTTATTTCATTGTAAAAGATATTTTAACTTTTTTCATGAATTAATAATATAGTTTGCACAAAAAAGAGAAGATATGACAGATGAGACTGTCGTTATCTATCAGTTTAATTCAAAAGTAGACTATATTTTCTGTCACTTCTTGGTGTAGTCTGTCAAACTCTTAAAATTTGAATGATCTCTTAATTTATGCTTTCACTTAGATGAAACTGCAATTGTTTTTTTTTTCTGTCATAAGTAACAGGAACAATTCCTGTCATTAGTGACAGTTCCTAACGACAGTAATGACAGTTCGACTGTCACTAATGACAATTTCCGTCGTTAGTAACAATTCCTGTCAATAATGAAGAATCTTCGACCGAAAAAAACGGCGTCAGAGTTTGCTAGGATATCAAAATCACCTTCATTTTATACATATCATAAGATCGAAAAAGAACGGTGTCACAGATGGCTTTGAAACGAGGATCACTGTCATTTTGTATGTAAAATTATATGGGGAATGTCGTCGATCGTTATTTCGAAGCCAACTGGACGCGTACTTTTTTTCGGCCCTACTGTATATTATGGTAAATATCATCAATACTTAATTTCAAGTCAACTTGACGGCGTTTTTTTCCTTTCGATGATTTTAATAAACGACGTCTAGACATTGACCTCGCCAAAATTATCAGCGATTGTTATTTCCCAGCCTCTTTTACGCCGTTTTCTTCCTATTGTACAGTATAAAGGATACTGAGGTATTTTTATTCTCCTTTAGGCTGCCCCAAAACTGTCCATCTACGATTCTCTGGACGACGAAGTGATCCAGTCCTACCTTGAATTTTCTCTGGCCTCTTTGCTGTTCTACTCGATGAAAGAGGGCGCATGCTCCGAACAGTCGTCCAGGATGACAGCTATGGATAACGCCAGCAAGAACGCTGGAGAGATGATCGACAAACTGACGTTGACATTTAACAGAACCAGACAAGCTGTCATTACCAGGGAGTTGATTGAAATCATCTCTGGTGCCTCAGCTTTGTAAGCGGGCAACCCAGAAAACAGTCTGTATAATATGCTAGTTATGTAACCACCAATATCCTCAGAAATGTCCCATTAAATATTAAGTCTCAAATATTTTTGTTCTTTTTTCGAAAAAATAAAATAAAATTAATACTAAAACTGATGTAATGCAAGTAATATTTTTTGGAAAGTATATTTGAGTGAAGGTGAATGGAGAAGAATAGTAAGCCCAAAGTCTCTAATAACATCTAAGAGTTTTTTTTTTGTATTCATGTTTACTTCTATATACTTAGGTGAAAATTATGTAAAATAAATGGCGAAAATAAAGGTACTAATATAATATGAAAAAAGGTTATTTTTGTAGTTTTATTTATTTAAAAAAAATCTTGATTGCTTCTCCTTTTTTACCCAATCCTGTTTTTCCTATATTTTTATTATGAAATAGCCTTAGCAAGCGGCTGCGTCCTCATAAAATTGAAATTTCTTATATTCTCTTTACTAGAATTTCCAAAAGTTGCCTCTAAGTACTCACTTTCATCGCTTAATGACCTCTGCGCACAATTTTAAACTTATTGGATAGATTTAGATTATTCCTGTACAGCATTCACCCCTCATTTCACCCTCTTAACTCAATTAAGTCACCTTAGTGATCCAATTATGTCACCAAGTTCATACTCATAAAGCAGATTTTAACAAATTTTCATGCAAGCCATTTTTATTTAACTCGATTTTCATTTAGACGAAATATTTACTCTTTAAACGCACCCTGTATATTAATCTGGATGCAACATCCAGCCTCCACTGCGCAGCTGTATCGATTTTCCGGAATCTGGACGTAAACAGTATCCAGATTTTTATCCAAGAGATTTATTTTAACTTTATTTTTTAAATAAATATAATGAAAAGACAAAATGTGAGGACGCTGTCCCTGGTTGTGACTACATTTACCTATTTGCTGATCGGAGCTGCTGTTTTTGATGCTTTGGAGTCCAAAGAAGAAGAAAAAAGGGATATGCTCTTAAGAGGTACTTTTATTTATTTTTGTGGAAATATTATGTGTAAGTCACTATTAAAAAAGGAGAATTACCTACATAAAAATATATCAGTTATAAATCTACTTACACGCTTAAATGAAAATAACAATAGTTATTTTACCGAGATAGCTATTAGCCGTATTAGCTAAAATATACCAGGAAATATTTTACAAAGAAATAAGTAGATAGTATACGGGGTGGTCCGAACTGTATTTTGGAACTTCGGCAGCATATTCCGCAGTAAAAATATAACTTTCCGTGATTTTGTACGTAAAAATGTCTCTTGGTAAAAATCGCCACGAGTAATGGTTCTCGAGATATTTGGAATCGAAATTATCAATACCTGTCATCATTGACATAAATTAAACCATTGCCTGGAAACTTATATGGTGAAATTTTGATAAAATAATTTAGTACTCACTAAAAACACGGTACGTCGCTAGTGGTAGGAAAAATAATTTTTAGAGGTTACTAGTTTATTTGGTTGCCTGGGATATGCATATACAGGGTGTTTCCTAATTAATCTAAAAAATAAAAAATCGTTAGAAAACGGCTTAAGACGGGCTCTTAATAAGTATATTTATTTTTTTCTCAGCAACCGTTTGATGAACAAGAAAAACTCAAAAGATCAATTTTGTTGAAAAAGGATGGCCAGTCAAGAAAAAAATATATTTTCTTTAAAAAAGCAGTAGTGTACCATTTATGTTAAGCAAAATATCGATTTTTTTTAATTTTTAACACCCTGTAGATCAGAAAGGAAGTACTTTAGACCCAATGGTTATATAAAAATTGTTTTAAGAAGACATGAGGAATCACACCACAATTTTTTAGACTAATTAGAAAAAACCCTGTATATTGTCAACTTGACAATGATTGTTGATAAATCAAAAAATACCTTTTCTGTGAAAAAAGCCCGATTTTCGCAGGAAAAATTTTGGTTTTTATTGAATTTCGGCCTACGTCTGCATATACCGGTATGTTTTTTAATATTCTTATCTATCTAAATTTTAAATATCATAGTCAGAAATAGTTTTATTATTTATTAACTGTAAAAATGGTATACTTATAAGTTTTGCCAAATATTGTGATTTACTTTTTACCTTGTAGTCAAAATTTATATTTAATAAACTGTAAAATATATATATTCTTATGTTTTATTAAAGTTACTTTGATATACTAATATATCAGTGTAACTTTAAAACTAAATCCTTTGAAATCAAATATAAACATAAAAAATATTTACAGCAGAAAAGGCGAAGGCGCTGGGTTAAACGTAGTCTCTACTAAGAACACGGAGGGGCGCTTTGACCCAAAATTTTACTATTAAGTTTCATATCTATCTTAATAGAAGATTATTTTCTTTTATCTATGAATTAAACATGTTGACTAAATAGTTATTAGACTGAAATCATAATTTTGAAATGTTTTTGAGCCAAAAGTTCAACAGAAACTGTTTTATCATCATTTTTTCGCAGAAAAATTTATGATTAATTTAAAAAAATAAAAAGTTCCCAAATTTATCATTTCAATCAAATAACTATCTAATCAACACGTTTATTTTTTGTCAATAATGATATGTATTGACTGTTTCCATTCTAAATATCTTGGGAAAGGTTGATCGTAGCGATTTTTACCAAGAGACATTTTTTACGTCAAAAATCACGGAAATTTATATTTTTTCACTCAGTAGTTTTATACAGGTACGGGCGAAAAGTTATTACTCTTCAAAACAGCTAAAACACAAGTAGGTAGCGCCCCCCACAAATAGGATTCATATTCACATCAAAATCAAATTTCTCATGTCAAAAAACTCCCAGACACCAATTTTCATCCAAATATTGATGTTACTTCAGAAATTATTTGAAAAAAATCGAAATCAAAATGAAATTTTTACACCCTGTATCTCCGAAACTAATTAGTTTTAGGCATATAACATAAAAAAATTATATTGATAATGGGTATACCATTTAAAAAAATCATAAGTTTCAGTCATATTTCAAGAATGATATCTAATAATAATAATAATAGCTCCCGTAAATAGTGTTTAACGCCTTGGGAGTTAATAAGAATGATATCTAATAATAAGAATGATCTAGTTACGTTACTGTATTCTACGTAAGAAACTTTATAAGATTCAGTTTTCACCTTTTCAATAAGTTATAAGATAAGCGAGATCGAGGGGAGTCAAAAAAATGCAAAAATTTCAAATTCGCCCTGTATATCAGGAACTAAGAGGGTTAGGACAAATCTGTGTGTATCATCTTTAGTTTCATAAAAAAGTAGCATAGTCATATAAAACCGCATCTTTGTACCTCTACTCATAAACGAGAAACTCTGCAAAACACACGAAAACTAATATCGGTGTCTGGAGCTCAATTTTTATCAAAAACATGATGAAAACCGCATATCGATATCTGTTACCGTTTCGGAGTTACGGGATGTTTTTCAAAAATGTGCATTTTTAACAAATCGCTGTAACTTTTTTGCTATGGAAAATTTTGTATTTTTATGCAAACATTTCCGAAGCATCTTTTTACGTAGAATTTAATAGTTTAAGTATAATTTTTTTAAAATTAGTAATCCAAGAGTTATCAACAGAAAAATTTATTTTTTAATTGGGATACCCTGTATATTTTTAATTAAATAAGAAGAACTTAAAATTACCTTTCCAAAAATATAGCACACTTGATATTTTGCTATACTCCTCTTAGAAATACAGAATTTTTTAAAGTTCGCCACTTCTAACTAGTAGGCTTTGGACTTACTTTGGATTTGTTTTTGATGATCGGCCCCTAATGGAACTCGAAAACATATTTTTTCAGCAAGATGAGGTATCGCCTCAGAACGCTGAAGTTATCAGCAAATTTTTGCAGCCAATTTCGAGAATAATTGAATAGCTAACCAAGATCCCAGCCGTTGGCCATCGAGGCCGCCGAGCTCGGTGCCTATAGATTTTTACCTTTGCGGAAGAATAAAGGTTTTTATTTTAAAATTGCCCGTATAATCTAGACAAGAATTAGAAGTGCTAAGTACTTCTAATTCTTCTCGGCAGAGCTTCTCGGTTATGCGAGGGTAACTTTTATCCCCACTGACTTAATGAATTCCGCGAGAAATGTTCCAAAACGGGGTCCCATCTGTCCATAACAAAGACGGTCGACATGTCGAACAAGTGTAGCAAAATCTCATGTCTTGGTTTGCTATTAATTTTTATTGTTATTAGATATAGTTTAAATGTGATGATGTTGTTAAATATAATTTAAATTGTTATAAAATTTTGCATCTCTCACTGTAAATATTATTTTTGTTTTAACAGCTACCACAAGGAAGATTTTTTTTGTATTACAGCCGGCGCAGTTCAAAGCCTACTTATTCAAAGTGGGCGAATTTTTAAAAACTCTATATCTCGAAAGGGAATCAAGCAAAATATCAAGTATGCTATAGTTTTGGAAAGGTAATTTTAAATTCTTTTCAATGAATTAAAAATATACAGGGTGTCCCATATAAAAAAATAATTTTTTGTTGATAATTCTTAAATTGTTAATTTTAAAAAAATTATACTCAAACCATTAAATTCTACGTAAAAAGGTGCTTTGGAAATGTTTTCATAAAAATACAAACTTTTCCATAGCAAAAAAGTTACAGCGATTTGTTAAAAATGCACATTTTTGAAAAACACCCCGTAGCTCTGAAACAGTAACAGATATCGATATACAGTTTTCACCAACATGTTTTTGATAAAAATTGAGGTCCAGACACCGATATTAGTTTTTGTCTATTTCCTATAGAAAAGGGTGTTTCCCTTTAAAAGCGTCCAATTTGACCCACCCTGTACATCATATTTGAAGCAAAAAATACAACAAAGACATTTACTAAATTCACAAATTATTAATTTCAGTTTCTTCAAACTCGCTCAAAGCAAAATACAACATCACGGAGGAAGATTACAAGATGATAGAGCTGATGATAATAGAGTACAAGCCCCACAAAGCGGGACCCCAATGGAAATTCGCCGGATCTTTCTATTTTGCCACTGTAGTCTTGGCTATGATTGGTTACGGCCATTCTACTCCTGTTACAGCTGGTGGGAAAGCATTTTGTATGGCATATGCCATGGTAAGAGAGAGTTCTTAGATCTTATACCCGTTTTTCTCTCTCAATATTTTACGTTCTTACTGGATTCTGGATTCCGTGTGGATTACAGATCTGTGTTCTTTCTAACACACAACTCATCATATAGTCCCAGGGCTTTTACAAAAGCCAGTATATGAGACGGTTTTATAGAAAGTAGTTCCCAGTATGCCAGTACTGGCTCTGGACTAGGATAGGATTCTTATGATCCTTGCCTTGCTAGTTCATCGGGCTTTTCATTGCCTTGCCTTAATAGTATAATAATAACCAGTCTTTATTGTAATCCATACATAAATTAGGAATCACAAAAAATTAAGTTGAAGCACTGCTTCCCATCTTAACCTATAATTTAGTTGTGTATCTTTCTGCTGGAGTTCCAAGTTCATTCGGACATTCCCACACTAATCTCGACAGAAATTGATATATTAGAGCATCTAGATAGACTTCAAAAATAACATCCTCCTCCTCCTTCCTATTACTCTATAAGAGTACGGTGACATTATGATATCGCATTTATTGTGTCTCTCCATGTTGTTCTGTCTTGCGCAGCAGTACTGGCCTCGTGAAGACTATGACCTATTATTGTTTTCATTTGGTCCACCCAACGGTTTGGAGATCTCCCTCTAAGACGTTTCCCGTTCACTTTTCCCTCCACAATTAGTTTTTCTAGGCCATCGGTGTTCCTGGATATATGGCCAAAGTATGACGTATTATTGATATAGATAGTCTAGATTCGATATTCAGTTGTTCTAGTATTGAAATATTTGTACGGTGAACTGTGTACGGTATTCGCAGCATCCGTTTATATCACCACATTCCACAAGCATGGATTTTACGTTTCATTGCCAACTTCAATGTCCAGGTCTCTGAGGCATAAGTGGCAATGGGGAAAATTAGGGCTCTTAGTAGTCTGAGTTTGTTGCTAATTGAAATGGCTGAATCTTTCTATATTTTATTGAGTTTGGTAATGGAATTACGTGCTATACACAGTCTTCTCTTGATTTCTGCGTCACATCCTCCTATATTGATCTACAACTTCGAAACCTGCCACTTCTGTTGTATTCGTGGGTTCTCGATCGATAATCATTAATTTAGTTTTAACCCATATCTCTCGCTGATCACCTCTAATTTGTGCATAATCGATTTTAATTCATTAGCGGAGGATGCGAGTATAAGTGTATCATCTGCGTACCTTAAATTCGTTACTTGTTTACCGCCAATAGTGATACCGCCGTTGTAGTCTTCCATAACTTCCCTCATTATAGATTCGCCACATATATTGAAGAGTAAGGGAGATAAAATGTATCCATGGCGCACTCCCGCCTCCAAGTCAAATGCATCTGAAATGGTGTTATTTACTCTTACTTTTCCTCTGCTGTTCTCATACAGACCTCGGATCAGCTGGATAAGGTGTTGAGGGACTCCCATGTTTTCTAGTACAGACCAAAGTTTGCTCCGCTTAATTCAATCAAATGCTTTGCTGTAGTCCACGAAACACAGATGAGTCGGGATGTTAAACTCATACGCTTTCTCGATAATTTGTCGGACGTTTAATATTTGCTCTTTAGTACCTTTGCCGGGCATGAAACCTGTTTGCTCTTCAGATATTTCTTTTAGAATAAAGTATTTTAGACGGCTATTGATCATGTGTAGCAGTACTTTGCTAGTGTGATTGATAAGCGCTCTCGTTCTATAATTAGCGCAGTCAGTGGGCAGCCTTTCTTGAAAAGTGGTATAAACAGTGATTCACACCATTCTAACGGCCATCTACCAGATTCCCTTATGATAGAGCATAGTTTGTGGATGATTTCTGTATCTAGCTCTCCCATCGCCTTTATAATTTCGCCTGTAATATTATCCACACCAGGTGCCTTTGAGCTCTTTAATGATTTAATAGCTTTTTTTTTATTTCAGTCTTCATTATGGCTGGTTCTTTTTCTATATTAAGGGCGAGTGTATGCGAATTAGCTGGTTCAAGGTTTTTATATAGCTTCTCTCGACCAATATTGTTTCCATACTTCAGCTATACCTTCTGGATTTGTCACCGTCTCAGTTTTATTATTTCTTATTATCTGTGTCCGTGGTTTGAATTCCCTAGCGAGGTACCTAACCTTGTCATATAGCTCACGCGTTTTATTATTGTTTGCATGGTCTTCCAACTCTTTACATATTCTTCCAATGTGATCATTTTTGTCCTTTCAACAAAAAGAACATACATTTCATAAGAATACTAAAAATTCTTCCATTTTCAGATAGGTATTCCTTTGGGTCTGATCATGTTTCAAAGTATCGGTGAGCGTTTGAACAAAGCGGCGTCAATCATAATCAGACAAATTAAGAAATATATGAAGTGTCACAAGGTAGAAGCCACTGAAATGAACTTGATGTTCGCCACAGGAATGCTATCAACTATCATCATCACCACTGGAGCAGCCGTTTTTTCTCGATACGAGGGATGGACATATTTTGACAGTTTTTACTATTGCTTCGTCACGTTGACTACCATAGGATTCGGAGATTATGTAGCGTTACAGGTAAAAATAAAACTTATTTTATATTATTATTGCTAGGACACAAGACACAAACTATCTAAAGTCTGTCCAACGAATCAAGGAAGATTTCGACAGACAACATCCAACAAAACACACAAAATTCCGTTTATTCCACTGTCATGGATCCTATTGTTGGACAGATAGCTACCTGTATCATTGTGCATAGGGCGATAATACTCGTATGAATGACTTAAACCAACTGTACATATATTTTCAGAACGACAATGCTCTAATCAACAAACCTGGATACGTCACACTTAGTTTGGTCTTTATACTGTTTGGTTTAGCAGTGGTTGCGGCCAGTATCAACTTGCTCGTATTGAAATTCATGACAATGTAAGTAAGAAAAATAATTCGAATTTTTATACATAAAAAAAACATAAAATACGCAGAAATAATCCACTATTGTAATCGCAAAACATTTTCCGATGCACGTCATCAATCATATCGTCATTGACACTAAAGTCTATAAACCTGACTAAATGAAATTTTAGCGAAAATGTTTTTTAATTTGTTGTATAATTTAAGATACCGAGCAGCTCTTCATTTTACTTTATAGAACAAATTATTGTAACAGATATTATATTTAGATTAAAGCTGCAAAAATTATTTTTAACCGAATTTTATTATCGCTATTATGTTGGTCACATTGCGCCGCGATCAGCAATTGCTGTCCTCCATTCGCGAATTTCAAGTTCCAGAGCTTTACGCCCTGGGCGCGTAAAGCCATTTCCCCGTGCAGTACAACGCCTGGTTCTTATGACCGGTGTTGTGCCGGTATGGAGAAAGACATATTAAAAATACTCTAGGCTGAGACAAAACCAAGTACAGTACAACGCGGTCGTTATGTTTTATGTTAAATGAAAAAATTGGGATTGTGTTTGGTCTAGGATAAAGTTTTAAAAATATCTTACCTTTTTCGAGGAAAATTGCTAATATTTTTTATTTGCTACTCGCTTATCAAATGGTTGGTGAACTTTTACCTAATTGCAATACGGATTTTATCAAGATCCTACATTTTCGCGGTTTATAAATAGAAACATAAACATAATAATATAATTATTGCTGGGTACTTTTTTTGATAAAAAAAACAATGCCTCGTCGTCGTTGCTGTTAGTTTCTCAGTTCGTCGTTGCCGTCTTAGTTTATCAGATACGGGGTTAACTTTAGACCTCATTTGTCGAGATCCGAACATTAAAGTTATTCAGAGGGGCGTGTTTGATTTTGTATTAAAACATAATGTTTTTGATCAAAATGTAATATCAAATACGACTATAATATAAATGTAGGTATCTTGTATAAAATAGCCCTCTACTCGATCGTCAAGGCCTGAAATGAAAACCATGTTGTTAATATTTTTTGAAAAAAAAAATGTTGTGCCTGACATGCCAAAAGAAGTTTTTATTTTAGAAATTCTCTAATGTTTGCCTGAGAACCACGATAAGAATAATCCACTTACCAAAAGATGCTCAGTTTGGTATATTCGTACACCCTAATCAACAACTAGGTAGTATATAAAAATACTTAAAACTATCAAACAATTACACAAACAGACAGGGGCACAGGCACAGCAAGGCTTTTATCCAATGACCTAGCTCTAAAACCGCAAAAGAACTGCTAATGCTGAGCAGGAATAAAGTGCGGATTACAACAGGCCTCTTGACAGGACACATGGCTGTCAGGTATTACCTGAACAAGCTCAAACTGTATCAAGGAAATCTTTGCTGCAGATTCTGCGAAAATGATCCTGAAACAGCGGAGCACATAATATGTCACTGCGAGGCTCTGGATCGCAAGCGACACTTTTTATTTGAGAAAGCTAGACTAGAACGGAAGGAACTATGCTCCCCCATCCTATCAAGGTTCTGCATAAGTTAGTGCAGGTTACAGGGATAGGAGAATGGGTGCAGATATACGGACAAGGAGACAAACACAATAGGCCTCACAGGTCGCAGTGTTTCCGGCAGAGGACGGCCCCTTGTTCTGGAAAAAAACATTACACAAAAATCATTAAAAGAAAACGGAAATTAACCTACGAGAAAAATGACAGCAGAATTATGAGTGCGTTGCGACGTTGTCATTTACTCCGATAATGCATACAGATTTAATACACACCATATTAAGTTTAAGCATTTTTGATGTAATATAATTTTTCGCGACGCGTGTTGAATTGCACTTGGGAATGTCCTATTTAAAAACGCGTATCTCAAGACATTGTCAAGTGCATTACAGCGCGATGTTGTGTTGTACTGCACGGGAGAATGGCTTTACGCCCCTGGGCTACTCAGAACGGTTCTGAAAGGAGCTGTGCGCGTTAGCTTGGTGCCTCCATATGGCGCGGAACAGTTCTGAACTTTAGACTCAATTGAATGGAGTGAGAGTATGGCGTTCTTGAACAGTTCAGAGCTGCACAACTGCGTGAATGGAGGACAGTAAATGTTGTCCATTATTATTTGACAATTATCCTAGTGTCAGTCATTATTTTGTACAATATCGTGTTGTTGAATCTTTGGGAGTAATTCTCGTTTTTTGGTTATTTTCATAGTCTTTTTTTAAAAATCGTACTTTTAAGCACAAACAGTTCTTTTAAGAACTAAATTTTCAAGTTTTTGTATTGCATTTCTTGAAACTGTGGGTTGAAAATATGCCGAAACATTGAAACCGTCGAAGCAAAGAGCTTTTACCTTCCCCGATAAACTATTTTGAACGAGAACATGACAATAAAGGTCCTTTATTACAATAGATAAAAGAAAATAATCTTCTCTTAAGATAGATATGAAACTTAATAGTAAAATTTTGGGTCAAAGCGCCCCTCCGTGTTCTTAGTAGAGACTACGTTTAACCCAGCGCCTTCGCCTTTTCTGCTGTAAATATTTTTTATGTTTACATTTGATTTCAAAGGATTTAGTTTTAAAGTTACACTGATATATTAGTATATCAGAGTAACTTTAATAAAACATAAGAATATATATATTTTACAGTTTATTAAATATAAATTTTGACTACAAGTTAGAAAGTAAATCACAAGATTTCATAAAACTTATAAGTATACCATTTTTACAGTTAATAAATAATAAAACTATTTCTGACCATGATATTTAAAATTTAGATAGATAGAATATTAAAAAACATACCGGTATTTGCAGACGCAGGCCCAAATTCAATAAAAACCAAAATTTTTCACAGAAAAGGTATTTTTTGATTTATCAACAATCATTGTCAAATTGACAATATACAGGGTGTTTTCTAATTAGTCTAAAAAAATGTGGTGTGATTCCTCATGTGTTCTTAAAACAATTTTTATATAACCATTAGGTCTAAAGTACTTCCTTTCTGATCTACAGGGTGTTAAAAATTAAAAAAAAATCGATATTTTGCTTAACATAAATGGTACACTAAAGCTTTTTTAAAGAAAATATATTTTTTTCTTGACTGGCTATCCTTTTTCAACAAAATTGATCTTTTGAGTTTTTCTTGTTCATCAAACGGATGCCGAGAAAAAAATAAATATACTTATTAAGAACCCACCTTAAGCCGTTTTCTAACGATTTTTTATTTTTTAGATTAATTAGGAAACACCCTGTATATGCATATCAAAGGCAACCAAATAAACTAGTAACCTCTAAAAATTATTTTTCCTACCACTAGAGACATGCCGTGTTTTTAGTGAGAACTAAATTATTTTATCAAAATTTCACCATATAAGTTTCCAGGCTTATTACTCTTTTTTCATATAAATTTCCAGGCTTTATTACTCTTAACTGCAGTCAGAAAAGTAAGTTTGATTGATACGCACATTATACCACTTTCAAAGTTAGTTTTTATTAAACTCTGTGATTATTAGTTTGTGCATTAATGTCCCTCTTACTTGTTATTACTACTTATGGCGCTGTAAAATGTACATCAATAAATAAATAAATAACCCATAATAACGCTTAGAATAATCTTCATAATGGACTAGTTTTTGCCAATTTCTAATAAGTAAAATAAGCTATAAAACAAAGTCACTTTTAAATTAAGATTCATCTCATAAATCCATCACAATCTGTCAGCGCTGTCGCCATCCCTTGTCACTCAAAATTGATCACGTGCATCGGAAATTGTTTTGCTATTACCATAGTTATATCATAACGTATGTTAAATAATAAAATTATTAATATATGATGTAAACTTTTTACAGAGGTCCAGAAGAAAGTAGGAAAGACGATCAAGATCTGCAATCATCCTCGCATCACGTTTTTGCTTTAGAGGGTGAAATGATGAACGTTAATGGAAAGCTATTGGCAGGACATACGTTCATTGAAGACGATTTTGATCAAACGTCTGTCTGTTCTTGTAACTGCCTCGGATTGAATCACCCAGATAATGAAAGGTAAAACAAAATAACCAATCACATTGATAAGAATTGTCTTTTGTGACAGTTGTACAGGGTGGGTCAAATTGGACGCTTTTAAATGGAAACACCCTTTTCTATAGGAGATAGATGAAAACTAATATCGGTGTCTGGAGCTCAATTTTTATCAAAAACTATAGAAAATTTTGTATTTTTATGAAAACATTTCCAAAGCACGTTTTTACGTAGAATTTAATGGTTTAAGTATATTTTTTTCAAAATTAATAATTTAAGAATTATCAACAGAAAAAATTATTTTTTATAAGGGACATCCTGTATATTTTTAATTCATTGAAAAGAATTTAAAATTACTTTTCCAGAAATATATCACACTTGATATTTTGCTTGATTGCTCTTCGAGATATAGATTTTTAAAAATTCGCTCACTTTGAATAAGTAGGCTTCGAACGGCGCCGGCTGTAATGCAAAAAAAAATTAGCTGTGGGCAGCAATTAAAATGAAAATAATATTTGCAATGAGAGATTCAGAATTTTATAACAATTTAAACGATATTTAACAACATCAACACATTTAAAGTATATCAATAACAATAAAAATTCATAGCAAACCAAGACATGAGATTTTGCTATAGATGTTCGACATGTCGACAGCTTATTCTCTAAATTGGCTGCAAAAAATTTCTGATAACTTCCGCGATCTGAGGCGGTACCTTGTCTTGCTGGAAAAATTTGTTTTCGAGTTCTATTGGGGGTATTACCATAAATAAGGGGTCCAAAGCCTACTAGTTAAAAGTGGTGAACTTTTAAAAATTCTGTATTTCGAAGGCGACTATAACAAAATATCAAGTGTACTATATTTTTGGAAAGGTAATTATGTTCTTGTCAATGAATTAAAAATATACAGGCTGTCCCTTATAAAAAATAAATTTTTCTGTTGATAATTCTTAAATTATTAATTTTAAAAAAGTTATACTTAAACCATTAAATTCTACGTAAAAAGGTGCATTGGAAATGTTTTCATAAAAATACAAAATTTTCCATAGAAAAAAAGTTACAGCGATTTGTTAAAAATGCGCATTTTTGAAAAACACCCCCTAACTCCGAAACGATAACAGATATCGATGTGCGGTTTTCACCATCATGTTTTTGATAAAAATTGAGCTCCAGACACCGATATTAGTTTTCGTCTATCTCCTATAGAAATAGGTGTTTCCCTTTAAAAGCGTCGAATTTGACCCTCCCTGTACCGTATATTCTTGGAAATAATCACTACTAATTCACTTTTCATTTATAGGTTACTTTTCGAAGGTTGTTATCACCCATCAAACATTGTATTAAACTCAACATTGTCTACAAAACGCGCATCAGTGTGACATTATCCCCAAAAATTATAAATAAGCTAAATATCAAAATTATCTAATTATTTTGTATTGATATGTTATAAATAAAATGAAATACTTCAAAATTTAAGAGGATTTTTTTATCTGACTTGATGTCATTTTAAAATTTTAAGTTTTTTACAGATACATCCTTAGACTGTGTGAAGTTCAATTTAAGTTGGAATCTCCAAAATTATTTTTCACCCGTTTAAACAAGCGCCAAAAAATTATGACGTCACTTATGCGCATTTAACGTGATAAGCAATAGATGGCGTCACTAAAGAATAATATTTTTAGCGTATCTATCACTACCAATAGAATTCACGTATTTTTTTTAATTTTATTAAGTTTCTCTAAATAGGATGTCATGTCAAAAGCGAATACTGAATTTCAAATATTACAATTTGATTATTTTTTTTATTATAGACTAAAATAAAAAAATGTGACTATCATTAAAATCTCTTCAAAAAAAGTCCTATGGGTATTTCGCCACTGTAAGAAAATCTACAAAACATAATTACATATACCTATATCTTGCCTATATCCACAAGTTGCGCGAAAGAGTTTTGATTGCATTGGTTTCAACTATGCGGAGGGGGTTAATCTTTTTTTGTTATATTATATTAAAAAAAGATTAACCCCTCCGCAAAGAAGTTATATAGAGACTATTTATAACCACTAAGTTGCACGAAAGAGTTTTGATTGCATTGGTTTAACTTCTTTGCGTAGGGGTTTAATCTTTTTTTGATATAATATAACAAAAAAAAAAGATTAACCCTCTCCACAGAGAAGTTGTAACTAATGCAATCAAAACTATTTCGTGCAACTTCGTGGTTATAAATAGTTAGATCTCGTTGGTAAAATGGCAGTTATGGGAAGGAGCCGTTCCTCTGGCGACCGCCTTTCGTAATCCCAGAATGAGCGAAAAAAACGCGAACCTAACAAAATATGTGCTAGAAAACCTTAAAAATATAAGAAATTAAGAAAAATTCGATGCTGAAATAATTTTTCGTTTTTCTGAAAAACGGTAAGAGACCGCCAGAAAAAAGTTCAGATTCGTAATCTACGACCTCAAAATAGGGTGTACGCCAATTTTGGTGAAAACCGGACGATTTCCAGTTGGATATATCCCAATAATTACCGACATTTTTTATAGTGTTGTTATTATAAACTTTGGAATATCCAAAAATATTACTATTAAACAAACAAATATACATTTTTATTAAAAAAAAAACTCTACAATACCTCTTGTTTACTTGCTATTATAAAAAGCCAAAATATGCCTTACTACATCCTTGTTGTAACCTGCTAAAACCGGCTTTCCCAGGTCATAACCGCACTTTTCAAACAGAGGCAAGCCTGGAGTTTGATACCATACATTCTTAGTTTCTTTACTATCAACATCCAAGGTATTTAGCTGAAGAATTCCAAAATGAAATGTCTTTCCATCAGTCTGGATAGCTTGTAACGTTACAGGCGTTGGAAGATTCTTAACATTCGACTGTGAATAATTAAAACACGAAATTTAATTACATTTTCATGATAGTTAGTTGTTTTTGTACTACCCCGTATAAAGCCTTAGCATATGAAGCGGCAGCTGTGAAGGTTTTGATCAAATTTCTTGCGTAAATTTGACTTTGTGTTACTTCTTCCTCAAATAGATTCTTCACTACTTCCTTGTCAAAATTAATAAATATTGTGTGTGGATGGTATACAGGAGAGCCTTTTTTTACAGCTGATAAAATAAGTTATTTAAAAAATACAATAAAAAAAACGGCGTCAAAGACAGCTGGGAAATGGCAATCGATGATAATTTTGGCGAGGTCAAGCCCTAGACGTCAGTTACTTGATTACCGTATCCTTTTTTATTTTTTAATATTTAAAATAGAATTATTTTATATTTTTTCATAACTAGTGTTAATTTTTGTCTAGAGAGTGGCCTCGTCAAAATTATCGATTGTCATTCCCCAGCCGTTTTTGACGCCGTTTTTTTTGATCATACGATATGTGCAAGTACCGTATGATCGAATAAAAACGGCGTCCAGTTGGCTTGGAAATAACAATCGATGACATTCCCCATATAATTTTACATATAAAATGACAGCGATCTTCATTTCAGGGCCATCGCTGACGCCGTTTTTTTTTCGATTATATTTTATTTTAAGGTGTGATAGATCTGGACAAAAACAACAAATTTTCTATTTAATATTTTTAGAATAAATTGAAAATGTGGGTAAGGTGGCAACATTGCAGTGCTACACTGTCAAAAAAAATCAGAGAATAAACCTGCAGTACTAAAAAGTTTTTTTTTAATTCTCGGAAAAGCGCCAAGAGAAAAATAAAATTTTTTTACAATGAACCTGCAGTACTAAAAAGTTTTTCTTTAATTTCCCGAAAAACGGCAAGAAAAAAAAATAAATTTTCTAGATTTTTTTGCCAATATATCATCACATTTTTTATGGCAAAATGTCATGGGCGTGTTTTTTATATTTTCAATGAACGTGTGGCACAAAACAGTTTTTCTTTAAATTCCCCGGAAAATGGCAAAGATTAAAATCCTGAAAAACATCACAAAAAATTTACTACAAGAATGAATGCAGTACTAAAAGATTTTCTTTAAATTCTTGGAAAACGTCAACAAAAATAAAAATTTCCATATTTTTGTGCCCACAAAATATCCTTATGGGTGTTTTTTAAGTTTTCAGAAAATGAATCTGCAGCACTAAAAAGTTTTCTAAATTCCCAAAAAATATCAAGAAAAAAATAAAATTCTCTACGTTTTTTTTTTGGCAAAAGGTCATCATGGGTTTGTTTTTTATATTTATAGAGGATGAAGGTGCAGCACTAAAATGTTTTTCTTTAAATTCCAGGAAAATGGCAAAGAAAAAATAAAATTTGCCAAAAAAAAATAATCCAAAGTACTAAATTGTAAATGTAATAAAAATGAAATTTTCTACATTTTTTGGCAAAATATCATGGTTGTTTTTTGAGTATGAACCTGCAGCACTAAATAGTTCTTATTTAAAATCCTGAAAAACGTCAAAAAAATGCACTTACTACAAGAATGAATGCACAGTACTAAAAGATTTTCTTTAAATTCTAGAAAACGTTAACAAAAATAAAAATTTCCACATTTTTTTTGACAAAATATCCTTATGGGTGTTTTTCAGAGAATGAATCTACAGCACTAAAATTTTATTAAATTCCCAAAAAATGTCAAGAAAAAAATTTTCTAGTTAGTTTTTTGGATCAAACTATACAACCAATTAAAATACTTGTACTTATTTAATAGACACCCTGTATAAAACATCTTTACTTACGATAAGTATCTTCAACCACATAAATATTCTCTTCATTCAATGTAATTGTGGGCTTAATAGGGTATAAATCAGGGAGATCAAATTCTTTCGTGCTTTGTGTTGTAACAGGATTTAACGGTGTTTTTGATAACAAAACAAAATCTCCAGTTAACTGAAATTGTACAAGATCTCCATTTTTTTCAAAGGAATATGAAAAATTAACGTTATTTGTCAAATAACGTTGCTTGACTAATTCCAGATCTGAAGAGCTTTCAATAACACTCAAAAGCTTACTAAACAACAAGTTACTGAAAAAAAAAATTATATGTAACAAATTTATAATTTTAAACATTTATAACCGTACTAAGCTCTATTCTGACTGATTCCATAGGATCTTGGAAAGTTCCAGGCTGGTCTTTCTGGGTCTTTTACCTTAGGCAACTTGACTTGCTCAGCATCGAAAATTTTACTTCCTAAAATCACTTTTTTGATCCTTCTGTTCAGTTCTTTTGTAATTTCGGGTAATTGTACTGTTTCAGGCAGTCCCTCTTTTATCTCAACGGAATTTGTTAGCATTTTAGCTTGGGGAAGTCCCTCTAACAGGACATTGTTATCTTTGAAAGTCAAAAGCGGTTGGTCGTGCCAGTTCGGATGAGTTTTGTCCTGAGGTGTAACTTTATTTTTGTAGCCCACAACTTCGACTCTGTATAGGAAATAGAACATTTAAATCACTTTAAACGTTTGCATAAACGTTTCTTACCTCTCGTGTATTACTTTTTCCTTTAAAAATTCCCTAGGGTTTTCAACTTGAATGCCTTTTTCATTGAGAATATTTTCGATACCTGTATCGAGCGGTCTTCTTCGACCCTGCACTTTCCAGTGGTTCTGAAAATGCCAACCGATATGTTGCCTGAATAAACAGGGAGTTTTACGCATTTCGGATATATATAATCTCGAAAATTTTATAAGAATTTAAAAACCACAATTAAAAACTTGTCTTCGATAAGAAATTTTTGAGGTTATGTCAACAGTAGGGTTGGCGGAAATATGTCGAAAGATTTATCAAATCGATATGTTTTTTAAAACAATATCGATTATTTTTAAACGTGCCCATTCTTAATATGTGGTTATGTTATGAATTCTTCGTCTTTTTTAATTCAATTTTCAGGCCTAATCTATTAGGACTATCCGGTCTGTTAATAATAGAGATTCTTCTTCTTTTCAAAAAGCTTACCACCTATTACATTTGCCGAAGAGCCGTATAGTCCTAGTAGTTTAGGCCGTAAAACCAATAAAAAAAAAGAACCAAGAAGCCACAACCACAACGCCCACAACACAACACAAAAATAAAATATATTGTTCCGTGGTTAAATAGACCAGTAATATAGCGCTTTAATTTAAAATTCAAGGTAAAAAACTTACTTAATAAACTTTTTAATAATTTAATTTATATGCACTTTTATAAAGACAAAAATATAAACACATGCAAAATAAAAATCCTTTAAATATACCTAATCTCGAATACTATTCACTTTTTAATTTTAATATTTTCTTATGATCCTTAATTTCTTCAAGCTTATCTAAATTATCCCACCAGTACTTTAATCTGTGCTTCAAAATCAAACTGAACCAAGGGGTCCATTGGCCGGTTAAAGTGGGAACAAAATCATCGAACTCCGTTCTGGGTACAAAACTTATCTCTGACACTTCGTCAGGGTTGGGCTTAAGTTTAACATCTTGCTGTATGAATAGAACATAATCTATTTCGTGTTCTCCGTATTTACCATTACCAGGATCTTTGTAATGTATCCTTGTAATGTAATGCATATTCTCCAAAGAGATTGTATCCGGTTTAATACCTAACTCATGAATTAGTCTTCTTTTTGCCGCCTTTTTTATACCAACAGCCCCTTCTGCTTCTTCAGGGTAATCTGCTAAAGGATGGCTACAGCATGAATTTGTGTAACAATCTGGGTAAGTTATCTAAAAACAAATATTACAATTACTTAAATAACAAAATATAATAGTTTCTCCATTCACCTTCTCTGATGACCTTTTCTGTAAAAGTAGGTCTCCATGATTATTAAATAAAAACACACTAAAGGCTCGATGTAAAGGAATATGACCATCTTCCTGAACTAGATGACAGTCCCTTTTACTCGCCGCACCAGTAATATTATCATTATCATCGACTAGAAAGCATTTTTCCTTCAGCATAGCCTCTTGTTGCAAATCTATTTTGTTATTTGCAGCAGGTGCACTGGTAAAAGATCGCTTAACATATTGACTAGCCACATTTCTCAAAACTGAGACGAACATCTTTGTTTTAGCACCTAGAAATAATAAGAAAATGTAATATATAACATTCCTGTAGTTAAACATACCTTAAAATTGAAGAAGTTAAAATAAGACTAGTTTTTATGTGAATACAGACTATCTTAGTTTTGGTCAGGTAGTAAGTCAAGAAACTTATTAATATTAACATTCCAAAATTTCACTTCCTAATGCTGAGGAATGTTAAAAACTTTCACAAGTATTCCAAATTGAATCTTTTAAAATTACATTACAATATTATGATATGATATTATCATGACATCAAATGTGATTTGACAGATTTAAATGACATGGCATTTGGTACAGATTATGGGTACAGATTTATTGATAAGAAATATTAAAATATCTGTGTTTAAGCACTTAAGAATTCCGTATAATAGCGTAAAAAGTAACTGCGTAAAAACCTATTGTATAATTATAAAACAACGGTAATACAAGATATAACATTTGTTTTTTGATTTAAAATCAAAATAATTATAGAATTTAAATAGTCGAAATCCTAAATTCGAAAAGCATACAATCTGGCAATGTTGCATGCGGCAACATTTGACACTTTGGCATTTTCGTTCATTCATAAATAGAAGTCCTTGTCCTTGTACGGTGTCCTTTTAAAATTAAATACCCGAAATAAAATTGTTTCCCCCCTTAGGGCAGAAAATCTTTATTTTTGTCGTGTGTACGTACTTATTAACAGTCCAAATCGCATACTAACACAGGTAACCTTTGCGCCATTCACCCATCTCGTTTAAAATGATCAATACCTGTGACAAAAGTGGATTTCAGAGTGAAATGACCAGTAAAATTTAAATTTTACCCATTAGAGAAGAGGTTTATCTTGTTTCGAAGACAAATTTATACAATTATCGTTTGCGTAAGTTGCCACAGTCATAATATATTCAGTTGTGTAGGTCTATCACATCATTTTCATTAATTATTCATTAATTACTAATAAACCTAGTTAGATTTGAATTAACTTTAATAAAAACCTACACCCGAAAAGTTTAGACAGAGAGAAAACAGTTTTATTAAAAATTCTAATCGAAAACCTTTAAATTATATAGATTTTATACAAAATCATATATGTTTTAAGGTTGCTTTAATAACAGAGAGACAAGAAATGGCTAGTTTTGCTTCACAAGCAGCTCTGAGGGCTAAGTGGAGCTCTCTGGTTGAGGAGCATTCAATTGATGTCCCTAGTGAAGTCACTAATAAAGTCACCAGTGTGGTTGGCTGGCTCAAACAGGTGAAAAAGTGTTTCATCTGTAATCTGTAGATTTACATCTACATCTGTAGATCTGTAGATTAGAACAACATTTGCTAGAAATTTAGTAATGCACTGCTTTAGGTGTTTTTTAGTTGATTTTTTAAGTATTTTAGTAGTTTTCTTTGTCCTAGAGATACCTACCCTATGAAGAAGCCTTTCATCTGTAGGTTGTTGCTTAAATTAGATCATCTTAGATTCATTTTTTGTATTTTTTAGAACTACATGTGCTAAAAATTTAGTATTGCACTACTTTAAGTGTTTTTTAGTTGATTTTTTGTTTTTGTTGTTTTTTTAGTTGAATTTTTAAGTGTTTTAGTGGTTTTAATGTACCCATATCAATTTTTCTATTAGAAATACCCTGTATATTATTATGAATTCACATCATACTTCAGTCCACCTACATATTATGACTATTTTATTAAAATGTTACATCAACTAACATCAACAGCAAACTAATGAATCGATCAATATAATACTCCACTTTCCTTCATTAGTGTGACAATTATTTTAGTATGCAAGATCGTTTTTTAGATAAAAATAATTTATGCTGAACCACAGACATTTTTAAATTTCTATATGCTTTGATTGAAATAGAAACAACATTAAATAACATTGTTATAGTATCAATTTTGAGCCAATTATCTAATATAATTTTTATTCATTTGTTTTTTGTGTGTTTGGAATGTCACACCAGAAACAAATGAAAGAGTTTTTTATAGCTAGGATATAAATTAAGAGCCCCAAGACCACAATTTTTTTGTCAAATATACTATATATTCATGAAATAGGTATACAGGGTGTGACATAGGTATACAAGGAATATTATTAAAATAAGAAAGTTGCGGTCAACTTCCGGTATTTCCGTGCCGTTATCTATAAAAATATTTTTAATTGATAGATCTCGTTGTAAAACAATGATGTGCAAAAAATCTCCGATCTGTATATTGTGGTTCTCTAGAAACTTCTAATGCACGCTCAGCTTGGGACACCCTGTATATTTGATAAATATACAGGGTTATTCACCTTATTCGACACGGAGATTTTTAGAAATTGTGAGTGATGGGATCGTTGGATGACCACTAAGCTACAATTTAAAATTATTTTCAAAAGGTACAGAGTGTCTCAAATAAATAAAACATATCAAAGTTGTATTTTTTTAAATGGAATATCCTGTATATTATTACATTTTTAGTTTCTACGATTAAAATAAAGGTAAATTTAATTAAGGTTTACCGCACTTTAAACTTATCGTTTCTGAAATATTTACGTTTTTGTGAAAATACATTAACAATAATTTTAATGCTTCATTTCTGTAGGCTTTTTTAAGTTTTTAAAACCAAATATTGTACTGAAGTTTTCCAATTTACTAAATTTTGTGTTGCAATAATAAAAATAATAATACTCCCTTATACAGTGTCTAAAAATCTATTTCAAATAATTACTAGCTTTAAACGGCAATTCTTGTTTAACTTGTTTAATTTAAATGGAACACTCTATGTATTTTACGAGAATCAGGTGCACAATTTAATTGTCTCTCCAATTGTATTATACCATTTTTTACCTATCCCATCAAGTTTTCGTAGAAAATGCATTTTCTTGTAATTTAGACCTCACTTATCAATATACCCATGGAATATTGACATTTTATAATAAAGCGCATATTTATGACCCCACAAAACGGCAATTCTTTCCTCATTTAACCGACTCTCTATCTCCAGTAGCTTCCGAGATACCCATAGAGAACATCGTAGGAAACTCACCCTGTATAAAAAGATTTAAAAGTAATACTGTGGTAATACCTTGGAGGTAATTATATATCGAGAAATTATGTTTACAACTCGTCCAAATGAAAATACGTAAATAAAAAGGACTTTTTAAGTCAGAAAAAGTCAAAAGGACAATTTGTTCCAAAAAAAAAGGACTGTGAAAGGTGGTAACCCTACTTGGAAATGACGATCAATGACAGTTCCCATATAATTTTACATAGGTATATAAAATGAGAGCGACCTCGATCTTCATTTCATAGCCATCGCTGACGCCGTTTTTTTTTCGATCGTATTGTAGTATTAAGACACGTTTCTTAGTCGTGTTATCCAATGAATTTTATTTATGGATCTTTAAGACAAGTATTGGCACTCTTAATAGAAAAATATGATGACAAGATCAAAAGTAGGGTCAATATTCCTGCTAAAGCGATTACATCCATCTAAAAATGGATGCCAGTGGATGCCATATTCAGTCTGTCCCCCCAACAATTTTACTCATTATCAAACCAGTACCACAGTACCAGACAGTACTGGCGCTATTGCGAAGAGTGTCAACATAAAGAGGTTTTTTTAAACGTTTACCATTTAGAAGTTTAAAAAATTGCGCTTTATAGAGACAATATTCTTTAATTTTTAAAAATAATACAACAAAAAGCATTCGTGAGTGATTTATTTTTCTTTATAACACTTGAGTGGGATATCCAGTCTTATATTGGACTTTTTATAGTCAAGGTAAGATCTTTTAATAAATATTATACCGGCAATTTAAAAATAGAGTAAATATTTTTGTACCTACTATGTTAAATATATTATTACTGTCTGGGCTTAAATATATTTATGTAAATAATCAATATTATACGGTCAGACCATCATTGTTGTTCGGATTTATTTATAAAAGGGTTATTTATTTGATTTTTTTTTCATCTCAGGGTGGGTCACTCATCAAAATACAGGGTGCTCCAGAATGATATCTTCTTCTTAAAGTGCCGTGCAGATTCCTGCGTAGGCGTTCATCTTTTTCTTCCTCATCAAATGGTTCTATTAACTGCAGCGACTTGGAGTGCTTGGAAGTCCTGTATGCCTGTCCAATGACGAATATTTCTCAGCCAGGATAGCTTCCTTCGGCCTATTCCCCCCTCTATTTTACCCTGGAGAATCAGACGCTGAAAGTGATAGCGTTCTCCACATAGTATGTGTCCCAAATAGGCTATTTTCCTCTTCTTGATGATTTCGAAGAGTTCACGTTCTTCTAGACCAGCTCTTCTGAGAATGTCTTCATTCCTCACACGGTCGACCCAGGGCACTCTTAGCATTCGTCGTAGGCTCCACATTTCGAAGGCTTCAATTCGGTTTATTGTTGCTACCTTCAGTGTCCATGCTTCCACATCATATAACAAAACGGACCTGACATATCACTTCACCATTCTGTATCTAAGGCCGAAGTTCAAGTTCCTATCTGTGAGAAATCTTCGCAGTCTCAGAAAAGTAGATCTTGCTTGTTCGATTCTGTATTTGATCTCCTGATCTGGATCCCACGTTTCGTTAACTATGCATCCCAAATATTTAAATTGTGTGACCTGCTTGATGACCTCTCCATTTAAGTAAATTCTGGTGTTCGGAATATTGTTTCTGCTAACAGCCATAAATTTAGTTTTTGTAGTATTTATGTTTAAACCCAGTCTTTGGCTTTCATTGTTGACCTTATTTAGAAGGATTTGGAGATCATTTGCATTGTCTGCCAATATCACTGTGTCATCCGCATATCGGATATTATTAATTGGAATGCCATTTATTTTCAAACCAATGGGACTATCGGAGATTGACTCAGTGAATATACTCTTTCCACATATAAATTGAACAACATTGGAGACAGCCTTAGCCCCTTTTTTATTTCAAAATCTTCAGTTACTCCCACGCTATGTATACGAATTTCAGCTTTTTGGTTCCAATACAAATTTATTTTTTTATTTATTACTTTTCCATCAAGTCACAAGTCTCTGAGGTATGATATAAGTAGGTTATGTTTAACGTTATCGAACGCCTTTGCTTAGTCTATAAAGCACATGAAGACATCTTTTCTCTGATCTTGGCAATTCTGTACTAAAGTTTGAAGACTGAATATGGCTTCTCTAGTACCAAAGCCGTTCTTAAATTCGAATTGACTTTCTCCACTTACTTCCTCACATTTTTTATAGAGTCTTGTATGCAGCACCCGTAGAAAGAGCTTAAGAAAGTGGCTCATTAGACCAATAAGACGATACTCTTTACACGAAGTTGCGTTACTTGACTTGGGCAGCGTGATAAACGTAGAACGAAGCCAGTCTTCAGGGATGGGACCGGTGTCATAGATGTTATTGAAAAGCTGTACTATAGTTTTTAAGTTTTGTTCATTAATTAAGTGGAACGTTTCCGAATACATATCATCAGGCCCTGGAGTTTTGTCGTTTTTCATTAATCTAATCGCATGAATAATTTCACTTTCCAATATGCTTGGTCCGGATGGCATGGGAATCTCAGTTGCAGGGTTTTCTGATCTTTCGTCGTTGAAAAGATTAATGGTATAATTTCTCCAAGTTTGCCTGAATGATATGCTAGCATTTAAGGGGGTGATTCTTGGACCTATTCTAAGAAAAAAAAAACTGAATTACAGAGACCATAGATAGAGACATACAGCGTGTCCCAATATTCCGGGGACATAGAACTACTACGTATTTTTGGAATCAGAATAAGTCCATTGGACACAATTTACCTCTATGTAAAAGTGCTTCGTTTGTCCGTTAGAAGGCATCAAACTTTAAAAAAATAAACGCATTTTTTAAAATATTTTAAGAAGAACCTATATTCCGATGTGAATGAGATTTCGGGTGGATATGCGCTTTAACATTTGACTGTTACAAAAAACAAGTAAATGTATGGGAAGAGTGAAAACTACCCCCACCATTACAAAAATGTTAGTAGAAATATTTTCTAAAAAATGTCTATACCAATGTGGCGGATCCATCTCTCCAAAAAAATCCTTTATGGGTATTTCGCCACTGCACTGCAAGAAAAATCTACAAAATAAAATAGTTATTTTTTGTAAACACTTCTGCGTTAAACATAAACGGACACTGCTTGTCAGAAGTTAGGTTTACAGTAATAACAATTTGCCTAACAAAGAAAAAAATGCTTTAACGTTTCTTTCCGTCGTCGGAAGCAAAAAAATACAAAGAA